TCCATGCATCATCCATCCATCATCCATCCGGGCCAGCTGGATGGGGCTGGGAGCAGCCTGGGACAGTGGGAGGTGTCCCTGCCATGGCAGGGGTGGCACTGGGTGGGATTCCATGGACTTCTGCCTTTCCTGGGCCCCTCTGGTCCCCCTGAAGCTCCAACCCACCCTGCAGGTCCTGCCAGCTCCAGGAGAGGACACAGGAGAGGACAAATGCCCCAAAACGCACAAACAGGACAGATCCCAGGGCACAGACAGGACAGATCCCAGGGCACAGACAGGACAGATCCCAGGGCACAAAGGGGACAGATCCCAGGGCACAAAGGGGACAGATCCCAGGGCACAAAGGGGACAGATCCCAGGGCACAGACAGGACAGATCCCAGGGCACAAAGGGGACAGATCCCAGGGCACAGACAGGACAGATCCCAGGGCACAAAGGGGACAGATCCCAGGGCACAGACAGGACAGATCCCAGGGCACAGACAGGACAGATCCCAGAGCACAAAGGGACAGATCCCAGGGCACAGACAGGGCAGATCCCAGGGCACAGACAGGGCAGATCCCAGGGCACAGACAGGGCAGATCCCAGGGCAGAAAGGGGACAGATCCCAGGGCACAGACGGGACCGTGTCCCCGTGGCCTCGCTGCTCCTCCCCAGAGTGGGACATTTCTCCTCCCGGCCCTCCCCTCAGCGGGCAGGAGTGCCCCTGCCTCCCCCGGGAATGCCAGCCGGCCGTGGGACATGGGACGGGCAGAAGTGGCTGGCAGCAGCAGCTGGGGCTGTGCAGAGTTATAAAGGACTTTTTGTGGGCAGCAGCAGGCGCTGGCCCCTGTCACCAGCACAGGCGGCAGCTGCAGCCAGCCCGGCCCAGGGGAGTGAGCCCAGGGCAGAGGGGAGAGCCGGGGTCACCCAGACCCTGGGGTCACAGAGCTGGGGACACCCAGAGCCGGGGTCACCCAGAGCCGGGGTCACCCAGAGCTGGGGTCACCCAGAGCTCGGGACACTCAGAGCTGGGGTCACCCAGAGCTGGGGTCACTCAGAGCCTGGGTCACCCAGAGCTCAGGTCACCCAGACCCTGGGGTCACCCAGAGCTGGGGTCACCCAGAGCTGGGGTCACTCAGAGAGTTCCAGCTCCCCAAAGAACTCTCCAGCCCCTTCCCAGCTCCCTCAGGAACTCTCCAGCCCCTTCCCAGCTCCCTCAGGAACTCTCCAGCCCCTTCCCAGCTCCCTCAGGAACTCTCCAGCCCCTTCCCAGCTCCCTCAGGAACTCTCCAGTCCCTCCCCAGCTCTGTTCCCTGCCCTGGACACATTCCCTTCTCCAGTCAAACGTCTCCCACCCGCCTGTGCCCCGGCAGACCCAGATGGAGCCCATCAGAGCAATGTCCCACCTCTGCCATCCCAGAGACAGCTCACGCTGGTGTCACACAGCTCCTCAGCCGTGTCCCCTCCTCCCGGGCAGTCCCAGGGGCTCTCCCTGTCCAAGGAAGGTCAGGGATGGCTCCGTGGATGAGTCAGGGGCCAGGCAGGAGCCAGGAGCCAGCCAGGACAATTCATGGGATGTCCTGAACCCGTCTCAGGTGGGGGAGCAGCAAACCTGGGGAGAACAACCTGGAATCTCTCTGGCCTCGTGAACCTTGAAGGAGCCTCTCGGGAGGGAAGCAGCAGGGCAGCAGCTCGTGGGCACATGGCTAAAATGAGATTGGATTTGAGAAGCCCCTTCTCCCTAGGAGTGTCCTCATGCCCCTGGAATCTGAGCTCCTTCCAGCAGCATTAATCAGCGTGGCTTCCATTTGTCACGCCGAGGTCGCTCCCCCTCTGCAGGGTCCCGCAGGGCCGGGAGAATTCACTTTATCTGCTGATGTAGGGAGAAAAATATTACTAAAAGCTTGACTTGTGAGCCTTGCTCGTGTGAAAGAGCCGGGCCTTTCCCTTTCCAGCCACATTCCTGCCCCAGGCTGAATTCCTGCCCCGGCCCAGCGCTGGCTCCAGCTGGCCCCAAGAGCAGTCACGGCCTCATAAAGGCAGCACAGAGGAAACAATATATTAAAATCTGCTTTGCTGGATTGAAGTGGGATCTGCACTAATGAACAGCCACTCAGGAAGTCATGTCTTCCTCAGGGAATCGTTTCAGGAAAAGTGAATTATAATCCAGGACGCACTCATGGAAAAAACGAGATGGACTTTGGGAGGGCTGACACACAGCCCACAGTCCATCCAATCTGAGGTGCCAGTGCAGGGGGTGGGCCCTTGCAATCCAAACCATCCTGGAATTCTGGAAGTGGTTTCCTCACCTGATTTGGCACAAATCCTTCATCTTCTCCTCTCCAAAGCCTTCCCGTGGTGCTCTCAGAAGAGTCCCCAGCAGGCAGCCACGCTGGGCAGGCCATGTCCAGGCAGAGGGACCGTGACCACAGCCATGGGGAACGCCCTTTTCCAAGGAAATCGGGCACCTGAGCCGTGTTTGACATCTTCCCTGCACTGCATTTCCGTGGAAGCCCTTCCAGACCCCAGCAGTGACACAACGTGCCCCAGACACCCACCTGAGCCCCAGCAGCTCCTGATGGGAGAGGGGTTCCAAAAACCCCAAACCCGCTAGAGAGGGGTTCCTATGACCCCCAAACCAGCTGAGAGGGGTTCCAAAAACCCCAAACCAGCTGGAGAGGGGTTCCTATGACCCCCAAACCAGCTGAGAGGGGTTCTCCATAGGAAGGACTCCAAAAACCCCCACAGGGCTGCCCCCACAGAGCAGGATCAGGGCTGATTCCCTCGGGATGGAATTTACAGCACAAAGGAAGAACAAAGTGCAGTGGTCATAAAGGAAGAAATGGAAGGTGCTTCTGAAGGGGAAAAAACGCCTCTAATTTTAAAATAAAGCACATTTCTAAGCAAAAGGTGGATTTTTACACCAATTTTCCATCTCATCCAGGAGGTTTTCCAGCTGCAGGTCAGGCTGTGGACACACATCTGTCCTAGACAGCAATCCCTGGGGGGTGCTGCTGATCAAAGGACAATTCTGAATAACAGAACACAAATCTGCTCAGCAGTGTTGAAAAACCCAGTCCTGCCATAATTCCACTTCCAGAGCTCTGCAGAATTTACCCTAAAGTCTCTGTGTCCGGTTGGAGGGGATGACTCCACTCTGGAATCAGCACAAGACAAGCACGATTTCCTGAGGTTTTGGAAAGCAGCTTGGTGTGCTGGAAGCTGTGACTGCAAATGTCCAGAGCCTCCCAGCAAACGCTGGGAGCTCCGCACCCACAGGAGCCCCAGCCCACCTGGGGCAGGGAACGGCCCTGGAGCAGGCAGGGACAGCTGGGGAGCATCCCCAGGGAGAGAGACAGCAGGGAAGGCTGGATGGGAACCCCCCCACCAGCTCTGGGGGGAAATCTCATCAGCCAAAGGTTTGTGCAGCCTGGCACAGCCCTGGAGTCCCATCCTCGGAGGGGTTTCACAGCCCTGGGGTTGTGGCACTTGGGGACACGGCTCAGGGGTGGCCCTGGCAGGGCTGGGGGAACACTGGGATTGATCTCAGAGGGGTTTTGGAGCAGCAAGGCCCTCAAGCTCCCCTCATGTCTCCTCACTGAAAGCTTAGAGGCACAAATAAGCAGCTGAGTGGCCTTGGAGGAGCTCCAAGTGAGGCAGGATCTCCTTAGGGCTCCAGCATCCTCCGTCTCTTCTCCCAGGGAACAAATCTGTCCCTGTGTGTTCAGGAATCCACCTGAGGGCTCAGCCCCTGCAGCCTCAGCACCTTTTGCTTCACACAAAGCTCATTTCCAGCCCCAGTAAAATTCCAAAGGCAAGGCAGCAATCCCATCCCACCTGATCCCAATTCCAGCTCAAGGCCAGGCTGGACAGGGCAGGGGGTGGCACTGGATCCCTTCAAGCCAAACCAGGCTGACGCTGTGATAAACAGGTGAAATTGGGTTTGGGGAGGTGGGAAGGTCTGGGAAGATGAGCCACAGTCTGAGCTGATTTATCCCAGCCATGGGATGGTGTTACTTGTCATCTGCACTTCAGCTTCCATTTCTGAGACCAGACCAGATCAGGGAATCCTGCAATGGTTTGGGTGCGAAGGGACCTTAAATCCCATCCATTCCCACTCTATCCGTGGCAGGGACAGCTCTCACTGCCCCAGGTGGATCCAACCCCAGTGTCCAACCTGGCCCTGGGCACTGCCAGGGATCCAGGGCAGCCACAGCAAAGCTGGGAATTCAACCCAGCCAGGAATTCCTTGCCAAGATCCCAGCCCAAGCTCCCCTTTCCCAGTGGGAGCCATTCCCTGGCTCCTGTCCCTCTGTCCCTTGTCCCCAGTCCCTCTCCAGCTCTCCTGGAGCCCCTTCAGGGACTCTGAGCATTCCCTGGAATTTTCCCTTCTCCAGAGGAACATTCCCAGCTCTCCCAGCCTGTTCATGTTGAATATTCCAGGGGTTTTGAGCCCTCCAGAGCACTCCAGGCCATGTTTGCAGCCCCTTGCTGTGCCCCTCCTGAAGCCTCTGCTCAGGCAGATGTGGGAAACCCGCAGGATTTTCCCTGCCTGTGACAAACACCTCCCTGAGACCCTCAACAGCCTCAAAAGATGGAAAATCTTCCCTCCGGGCCCTGGAGGGTCTCTCCAGAACCTTCCACCTCCACGGTGCCCAGCCCTCCCAGCACTGGGTGTTCCCTCCCAGCTGTTCTGAGCTGCCACAAACATGTGAGGCAGAGAACAGAGGAAGCCACAGCTCACACCCTCTCTGCTTTCCTCAGATGTCTTTTCCTGTTTATCCATCCCATGAGCTGCTCAGGGAGGATCAGATGAAACTGAGACTTGAACACTTCATAAACCTCGTCTCTCCCCTGCATCTTCTCGGTGCTGCTGGCCCAGGACACAGCCAGGGATCCTGGCAGACAAACCATCCAAAAAAGGGGATTCTCCCAGAAAAGGCCTGAAAGCTCCCACCACCATCACAAGTGTCTGTGCTCTCCCCTCCTGGTCCCTACAAACACAGCTGCAGCAGTTATTACAACTCAGCTGTTTTATTGAAGTACAAAACATAACAAGTGAATTTCCTACATTGAGACAGGAATTAAAAAAATTAAAAATAATCCTCGTTAAAACCCACTGAAAATAAATATATAAAACTGCTATTCCAATCAGGGAGTTATAAATATATTATGAACCAAGTTTTTCCAGACTCTGTTTCCTCTGCAAGTGCCTAAGACCACTATAAAACCCCAGCTATATATTTCAAACCCTGACACTCCCCCAGATGACAGGTTCTTACGCAGGGCAGGATCAGGCAGTAGAGAGGGGAGCCAGGAGCACAAAGTGGGGCTGCAGGAGCCCCCAGTGCCCTGTCCCTGTCCCAGCACTGCTCTGTGTGGGCTCAGCTCCAGGACACCTTCTTCCCCAGGACACGGCTGGCGATTTCCTGAGGGAGAGACAGAGGGGCACAGGTGAGTTTTAGAGCTCTGAAAGCTGAAAACGCTGAGCAGAGCTTCTCTGCACAGATTGTCAGGGAATCCCAGAGGGGTTTGCCTGGGAGGGCCCTTCAAGCCCACCCAGTGCCACCCTGCAGGGACAGGGACACCTCCCCCTGTCCCAGGTGGCTCCCAGCCCCAGGGGAATTTAAACTGTAATATGTAATATATGTTATTAAATAATTCGTGCTAAAGTAAATTAAAACCACAGCATCTTGTGTACTGAAACCAGTGTCGAGCAACAAGCAAGCTAAGGGATAGAAATCCAAAATGCCAGGAAGACACTGTCCCCAGAGGTGTATATTCCAAAGGTGTATATTCCAAAGGTGTCTATTCCAAGGGGTTTCTTGGCTGACAAGACCCCAGCTGGAGGCATTTCTGATAGGCAGCAGCAGCAGCAACAGACTAAGTGATAAAGATTCAAACCCCAAGAAGACACTGTCCCCAGAAATGTGTATTCCAAGGGATTTCTCTGCTCTGACTAGGCCCCAGCAGGAGGAATTCTGATAGGCATCAGCAGAAGCTTATCCCAGAGATTTTCACCTGACAGGATTCCAGCAGTTTTCCACCAGGAAAAGCACCATTATATGCTAAAGAAGATAATATGCTAAAGAAGATAATTTGCTAAAGAAGAGCCATTCCAAAGCCCAGAGACTGTATAAAAATTGACCCCTTAGAAGTGACCCTCGGAGACCCACAGGGACTTTGGTGCCAGAGAGGCCAAGCCCTAAATCTCCCTGACGCTGATGGCCTGGCTCAGAGTCGAATCACTTGTGGCTTTGTTTAAATTTATGCTTTGATCATGTAATAAATTTCTGTGATTATGCCATTGGAGCATTCATTTATAACATAAACCAGGAGAACTGAGGCAGCCAGAGCTGCTCCTGGGAACACCAGGATGTCCCTGTGGAGGCTGCAGCAGGAATGGCCAGGACCAGGCTGGAGAGTGTCCCTGGACTGGCTGGGACCTCCTCAGCAGGAGGAAGAGCTCCTGGAGCTGGTGTGGCTCAGGAGAGGCGTGGGGAGAGCAGCAGAGCCCCGGGCTGCAGGAGCAGAGTGCTTCCCACAGCAGCAGCGTGTGAAATCCAGAGCTGTGCTTCGTGTCAGGCAAAGAAAGGCAACCTGTGCAGCTTGGTTATGAAATGTGTGGAACATGGCCACGGGACAGCTATAAAGATGAGTGCTTTTGAACCAATCTTTTGTGTGTAAATAACAGTTATAAGTCTTAAGCTGTTTTGTAATCAGAACTTTTGAATTATAACTTTAGAATGTTGCTTAATATTAAGGATTTTAAAGTGTAGCTTTAGAATGTACAAAGGATTTAAGCAGAAAGGGAAGTGACCCTATCTCAAGTTCCTGGAGAAGGAAGATGGACATCAAGATTGCTGATTAGTGACTTTGAAAGGGGAAGCTGGACATCACTACCATAGATTAATGATCCAGAAAATAGAAGTTGGACCCCAGCATCTGGACACGCATCCTGGGATATACACAATAGGGTATAGAAACTGGAAAAGAACCAGACAGCACCATCATAGATTCACTGTCCTGGAGTACAGAATTGTGATGTTAAAGGTAGAAATGGAAACTGCCAAAAGCTCACATAGAAACTGGGAAAAGCTTATGAATATGCACGAATATGATCAATAAATACCAGCAGGCCCAACAACCAGTGTGCAGTCAGAGGGGAAACCCCCAGCACTGTACCCAGCGCTGTCTTTGCTCACACGTTATGATATTCATTAATAAATTAATACATTAATACATTAATAAATTAATAAATTAATAAATTAATAAATTAATAAATGGAATTGCTGCCTGGTATATTGGCCGAGTCAAGCGTGTGGTTCCTGTGGAAGGGAAATGTCAGCACTGGGGAGCCCTGGCTGCACCCACGGGGTGTGCCAGCTCCCTGCCAGCCCCAGGCAGGCAGAGATTCCAGAAGGTTCCCCGGGGCTGCTGCTTCACCTGTGGCGTGCCAGCCTCGGGCAACACCTTCCCAAACCTGCAGAAATCCAGCTTTATTCCTCAGGGATGCAGGGCAGCCATCCATCAGCTGCTGCTCTACAAATTTGTTTAAGTTTGTTGTTAGTTTTTGTAATAACCAATTTTATTATTGTTGGTTTTTTATCATGTCTTATTATTATAATTTTTATTATTTTTATTATTGTTTTGTTATTATTTTTGTGGTAACCAACATACTTAAACAACAAATAAACAAACCTAACAACAAATTTACTGGAATCACAAACTCACTCCACCTTGTGGAAAGCCTCGGTAATGGAACCAAACTGCATCTGATAAACTCAGAAAATCCATTTCTGCTTCACTGGGGCTGAAAGTTCTGATTGCTGCTGCCATCAGACCAGAATCTGTTCCCACTACAGAGTGCAAAATTCCAGGGCACTCCCCGTCCCCTGATCTGATTGGGATGATTTTATGCTCCATTTGAAATTAAAAGCACAAAAGCAAAGGGCTGCTGGGACAGAACATCAGCCCAGATCCACGCGCACCCTGTGATAAAAATAACTTTGCTATCTCAATAAAGAGAAGCATTGAACAATTTCAGAGATTAAGAATGTCTGTGCACCCCAGCCCAGGGATTTTTATGGCTCCAGTTCTAGGTGGGCCCACGTTGTTTCCCCCTCAGGATCATCCTCACTCAGTGCCAAGAAAACTTATTCTTTTTCTCTTTTCCCCCCAGTGAGCTGCCCCAAACTGAAATACCTTGAGAGCAGCCCTGACAGCCCCTCAGTTCCCAGAGCCCTGCAGGGATATTTGCACTCTGCTTCACAAAACAGAACCAGATTTGTTCATATATATTCACTAACCTGGGGTCTTATTTTCAGTCAAATAAACCCAGCTACATCTCATCCCTCAGCCTGGCCACTGAGACTGTCCCTCACTGGCAGTGTCCCAGGCCAGGCTGGACACTGGGGCTTGGGGCAGCCTGGGGCAGTGCGGGGTGTCCCTGCCATGGGATGGGGTTTATTCACTCATTCCTTCCTTTCCCATATTTTAATCATGCTCTGTGAGCCCTCAAAGCCTTGGGGAAGTGGCTGGAGAATTCCTGAGGGAGCTGGGAAGGGGCTGGAGAGTTCCTGAGGGAGCTGGGAAGGGGCTGGAGAGTTCCTGAGGGAGCTGGGAAGGGGCTGGAGAGTTCCTGAGGGAGCTGGGAAGGGGCTGGAGAGTTCCTGAGGGAGATGGGAAGGGGCTGGAGAGTTCCTGAGGGAGATGGGAAGGGGCTGGAGAGTTCCTGAGGGAGCTGAGGGGGCTCAGCCTGGAGCAGAGGAGGCTCAGGGGGACCTTGTGGCTCTGCACAGCTCCTGCCAGGAGGGGACAGCCGGGGGGATTTGGGATCTGTTCCCAGGAACAGGGACAGGAGGAGAGGGAACAGCCTCAGGGGAGCCTCAGGGTGGATATTGGGAATATTCCTACATGGAAAGGGGGGTCAGGCACTGGCAGTGCCCAGGGAGGTTTGGAGTGCCCATCCCTGTGGCCCTTGGGGACACGAGCAGTGGTGGCCCTGGCAGTGCTGGGGATGGTTGGACTGGATGGGCTCAGAGGGATTTTCCACCCTGAGTGACTCCATGGCTCTGGATTTTGGGACAGGGCACCCAGGGGCTGTGCCCAGCCCCACACAGAGCTGTGCCTCCCTGTGCCATGTTTTCCCTGGAAAAATGCCAAAGGAGCTGCTCCCTGCAGGGTCACTGGGGCTCCTCGGGGACAGCAGCAGAGCAGGAGCAGCTCAGCCCTCCCTGCAGCAGCCTGGGCCATGGGCATCCTTGAATCCACAGCCCTATCCCACACTTCATGGAGCTCCTGGAGCAGCTCCTTCCTTCCTTCCTTCCCCCAAAGCTCTATCTCATTTTTGGACTCATTCCACAAAATCTGTGGCTGATTTTTCAGGCACACTCAAACTGGTGCTCTCAGCCCATCCTCACCAAACTGTTCCCTGATTTACAGCAGCTTTTCTGCACCAGCAGGGAGAACTAAAGCACTGGAATTGTTCACTGCCATGAATCATCACCTCCCTTCCAATCAAACCCATATTTATGCACAAAAGTTCTGATCCTATTTCCTCCCTGCTTCCAGCCCACTCTGCCACTCCAAGTCAGTGACTGCCAAAACTCATTAATTCCTCAAATTTTACTGTACCAGCATCTGGAATTCTCAGACTAGGGAAAGATGTCCTGAAAATACCCTGCCCAAGTATAGCAACAAATTAAAGTCTTTCTAGTGGTAAATTCCCCAAATTAAAGTAGGAAGATGCTGTGCAGAATACATTACAAGTGCTGACTTCCAAAATCCGATGACTGCTGTTCCAAACAAATACCCAGCCTATTATTCCAGCTCTGGAATCCTCCAGGAAAGGAGTTGTTCCAGCCAGGAGTTTAACACTAAAACTGAGGTGCAAGTTTAGGATCCAGAGTTTGAAGAAAAGACCAGATTTAGTTTCAGTGCCTGTCCATGCTCTGACTTATCCCACAGCTACCCAGACAGGGGTCCTGGCTGAGCAGGGCCAGTGCTGGACAAACAGAAACTGCTGGAATCCTCAGATTCCACCAGGACTGCAAGGTTTAGACTGGATAAATTAAGGATGACCCCAGGCTTTGTTAGGCACGGCTGGGAAGTTGGCTGGGAATTCCCAAATCCATGCACAGCCAGGGCACGGGAGAGCAAACCCAGCAGCCTCAAGGACACTTGTCCTTGCTGGGATGTGCTCCAAGACCCCTCTGTTCCACCCCAGGCCCTGCACAAGCCCTTGTTTGTATCATGTCACCAGCACCACGTTCCATTTTCCCATGGGATGGGAGGATTTCACGAAAGGAAGGGGGAACTGGGTAGCAAAACTGGGCTGATGAGATGGAACACACCTGGGCAACCCCTGGAGGACCTGGATTCCCAGTGTCCTGGGCTGTGAGATGTGTCTGGGGTGTGTATCCCACCTGCCAGGGGTGGGGCAGGTATCTTCTGTTCATTGGGCAGTTTTATTTATCTCTGCCACAACCCATCCTCCCACCAGGAGATCTGTTCTGTTCATGGGCCATTAATTATTAATTATCTCCTGTTCATGGCCACTGAGTGTCCCTGCATGGCTGAGAAAATTCCATCATCCCACTGGGAGATGCCCCACCCAGGGGAGGAGCCAAACATTCCTACCTGGATACAATCTGAGATTTTGGGATACCACAGCAGCCTTTGCCCCCTGCATTCCCAGAGGAGCAGCTTTCTTCCCACTGCATTCCCAGAGGAGCCCAGGCCCATCTCCCCCAGCCCTGGAGCTCCAGAGGAAAACTCCCCCCTTGTGCAGGATCCTGCTCCAGCAGAAGCACAGCTGGCACTGCAGGAGGGCTGAGCCACCCTGGGATGGGGCTGCTGCCACCTCCCTGCCCCACAGCCTGCCAGGGCTGCTCTGACTCTGACAGTGGTTTTATTATTATTATTATTATTGCATTTGTATTTTTAATTTTCCTAAGAAAGAACTGTTATTCCTGCTCCCACACCTTTGCCTGACAGCCCCCTACTTTCAAAACTATAATAATTCAGAGGGAGTGGTTTACATTTCCCATTTCAGGGGAGGCTCCTGGCTTCTCACACCAAGACACCTCCTCAGCAGATCCCTGTGTCAGGGACTCCCTGAGGGAACGTGGTGCTCCAGAGGGGAGAGGGTGTCACACATAGGTAAAACCTTATTTAAAAAAAGCCTTCTGAAATCAGGCTTAAGCCAACAGCCAGCCTGATAAGTTCCAGTGAGATAAGAATTATCACAGTGAGAATCAGTTAGCATAACACTCTGTTCTTGTGAGAAGACAGGTCACACCTGGGGAGGAAAGTTTACCTGTGTGAAACACTCACTGCCCAGGAGACAAGACTGTGAACACACCCAGAAAGAGAAAGGTTTGATGGACACCTACACTAGCCACTGGCAGCCAGTGAGCTGAGTTTCAATGGATTGCTGACCAGTTAGATTCAGACATGGTGCCTTCTGATAACCATATAAATATAATAAAATATATATTAATATAATATATAATATCAGTATATAATATGTATTACATATAATTATATAAATATACAACATTTATATAATATATTATATATTATATATCAATATATAATATTATATATTAATATAATATATTATATATTAATATAATATATTATATTAATATATAATAACTATATTAGTTATATATAATTAAATATAATATATATAATTTAATAAATTATATTATATATTTTATCATTTATATAAATATATATTTTATGATTTTATATTTTATAATTTTATAAATTATATAAAATTATATATTACTATATATTTAATTATATAATTATATTAATTATATTAATATATTAATAATTATATAAACTTTAATATGTAAGATATATATTTATAATATATATAAATATAAGGTATATAATACAAATATCTGAAAATATGTAATACATATATATTAATACAAAAAAATATGAGCTATGTGAACAAAGATTTGGCTATTCTGCATGAAGAACAGGTGTCTCTGTCCATCTCCATTGTGACAAGGAGGCACTCCCAGTTTTGTAGAGCTCAGTTCAAAGGGGAGGCACTCAGGGTTTTGTAAAGCTGAGCCCAGAGAGGCACTCAGGGTTTTGTAAACTCAGCTCAAAGGAGGCACTCACGTTTTGTAGAGCTGAGCCCAGAGAGGCACTCAGGTTTTTGTAAAGCTGAGCCCAGAGAAGCACTCGGGTTTTTGTAAAGCTGAGCCCAGGGAAGCACTCACGGTTTTGTAGAGCTGAGCCCTCAGGCGGTAGGAGCTGTACTCCTGCCTCCTCTGCTCCTCCTCCCTCTTCCTCCTCACCTCGGGGAGCTGCTCGTAAATCCTGTCGGGAGAGGAAAGGCAAAACCAGCGATTTAAAACTGGCTGACACCAAAAACCACCAAGGAGAAATATTATGAAAGAAATGCCCTATAAAATATGGTTTAGGCCCTGCTACTTTAGCTAAACTACTAGCTAGGCTTGTAAGTTCTTATGTGAAAAAAATTATAATGAGAATCAAGTTTGCGTAACAACTTGTAAAAATAAAGTAATAGCAAAAGATCTGTCCTATGAGAATCTACAAAGACAAAATGTAAGCACCTGAAGAAAAACAGACTTAACACATACACACACAAGCACCTTCTAACCAATAAACTGAGTGTTGATAAGGTTACTAACCAATTAGAGTCAAACACATCTTTAAAAACTGTAAAAATATGGGCTTTGTTTATGTATATTTATTTCTATATTTATATTATTTATATATTTATATTTACATAGTTTTGCTTAATTTATTTGTATTTTATTTTATTTATTTAAATATGAATTTTATTCTTCCTGCGTAAAGAAACTGAGTCCTGTCTGCTTTACTGCAACACACCCTTGGCTTTATCCCCACATCCCTTAGGGTTGCTGGCCAAGCACATCCCTGACAAAACACAAAACCACAAAATTTACCCTCCCCACGCCCCCTCTGCAGCAGAGCTGTTCCAGAGGGTAAATCCGTGTGAGTGTGCTGGGCATTGCAGAGATGAATTACTGCAGTCAGAAATAAGACAAACCCGATCCTAAGGAGGTTTTTCCAAGGGTAAAAGTCCCTGTATTCCTCGGGGTGTTTATTTCGATAGAAAGCCTCTTCCCTGGGGGAAATGCTGCCTCACTGCTGCCCCAGTTACCCACTTGGTTAATCTGTGAGCTTCCTCAGATGCTGCAGTGTCCCCCAGCCCATTCCCTCTCCACCTGGCACCCAGTTTGCTGTGGATGGCTGACATTGCAGCACAATCCTCAGCTTTAGATACAGAAATTATTTTCCAAAAGGATTTTGTTTCTTGGAACTTCTAAGTAGGACGTTTCTCCCTCTGACAAGGCACCTGCATTTTTCACTGGAAAAGCTGAATTATTTGCACACCCAGTTCTTTGACTGCAGACAGGATTGAAAGCTCTTCCCTGCCCAGGGTACTGATCCACCTGAAATAAAATTCCCTGAACTTTACCTTTTAGATCTTTGAAGCATTTCACTCTTGGGAATTGCTCTTCTTTTTTCTTTCATCAGGAAACCTGAAAGGAAAATTTTGAGATAAGGGAACGATGAACAAGTTTGTTACACCAAAAATGTGAGTCCTTTGTGAGTTTTATAGAAGTTTTTACAAAAAACTCTTTATAAGATCTTACAGACAACAGGGTTAAATAACTGTAATGCCTTTAGGAGAAATAAATAATAAATAATTAGATGTTTTTGGAGTTTTTCATGAACGGGATGGGACTACTGGGGTATGTTCCTTGAGCTTTACTGCAACACCAGCCTCATGACATGGCTGAGACAATAGGAAGATGGCAACAGCTCATGTCCTGCCAGCAGCAGCCGAAGATTTCTTTGTTACAGAGCATTTAAAAAACATTCTAGCCAATAACATATTGCTAAAGCTTACAGACAATCGTTCCAGCCAATCACTACAAGCACACCTGCTGCACACAATGCTTGCTTGCATGCTTTCTATTACAACACATAACACTCCATTATTAATTTAAAACCTTCTACTGTCTTGCTAAACATATTTTCCTGCAGTCTTAAGGTCTATCTTAGCCAAGCCTAAAACTCAAGCTATTGTTTCATGTCCTTGCTTGCTGTACTATTCTAACTTTTCTACTTTTGGACTTTGCAACTGCAGCTAGTTCTAATTTCTCTGCCCTTTCTAAGGCCTGCTTTCCCAGTTTTCTGAAAATCTTCTTACCTTTACAATTTCTCACATTTACCCCTCTCAGTACAACCACAAAGAAACTCTCTTAACTTTGCTGCTTATGAACTACCTTGTGTTATATAGCTCTGCTATAACATGTATTTCTTTTTGCTTGTTTTGAATCACCTCTCTTGCTTGCTTTAAGTGTTGCTATTTTACACCACAGCAATTTTAATGCTGTAAAATACCTGGTCTGTTCAAAGGATGAAAGTCAAATCCAGTAGTAGTTACTATTTGCTGTTCTAAAAAGTCTCGTCTGTTCCAAGGTCTTAATTCAAAGCCTTCATCTATGTCTATACTGGCATCCACTGTCTCTGTAAGATCCTGAGAGCTTTCTGTGATTCCATTTCCTGCAATCTGCACTGCAAGAAGCAAGCAAAGCTAGCCAGCACCAGTGTTAACACTCGATTTCACTCCATACTCCATTCTGCACTTCTGCCTTTACTATTTCCACTTTACTATTATCACGTGGAGTTCATGAAACCAAAGAATTTGAATAAATACACCCTGAAGCATAATGTGGAGTTCATGAAACCAAAGAATTCGAATAAATACACCCTGAAGCATCATGTGGAGTTCATGAAACCACAGAATTCAAAGCAGATCCCTGAAGTACCTCGGTTGGACACCGGGTGATTTGCAGTCCTGCAGTCCTTTCTCCTCCCTGCAGGTTGCAGCAGCTGCTGGGGTGGCAGCAGTTTGTCCCTCTGGGGTGGCAGCAGTTTGTCCCTCTGGGGTGGCAGCAGCTGGTCCCTCTGGGGTGGCAGCAGTTTGTCCCTCCGGGGCAGCAGCAGTTTGTCCCTCTGGGGTGGCAGCAGCTGGTCCCTCTGGGGTGGCAGCAGCTGGTCCCTCTGGGCCTTGTGCAGCCTCCTCTCCTCGCGGAGCAGCCGCAGGTGCCGCAGGCGCTGCCCCGAGCGCGAGATGAAATCGGGGCGGTGCAGGGCCAGCGCCTCCTGAGGGGACACAAACAGACCCTGCCTGGCCAAGCTGGGGCTGGCAGCTGCAGGGGAGCCCCAGAACATCCACCACGAACCCCAAAGCATGGAAAGAATCCCATCACAACACTGGGTGTCATATAAAACTCCTGTCCTTAACAGGGTAGGCGCTCGGAGGCCAGCAGCCTCTGAGCCTCTGGTTTCACAATGTGGAAATCAGCTGGCCAGAAAGGAAAAAACCCTAAAATAGCAAGAAAGAATAATGAAAACTCATTTTGATCTGATACAATGTACACCTCAGTACTGTTTCTGTGTGGAAACAAGCAGTGGGACGTTCTGCCAGCTACATCCCCCCGGCTCCTGAAGCCAAGGGTCAATCCCTGCGGTATCAGACCAAGTCAAACACTGGGGAAACAACTGAAATACTCTGGGGAAAGCCAGATTGCCTCGAGCATGCCACGATTTGGCCCCTGTGGAGGCCCAGCAGTGCCTGTGTGCAGGGTGGCCTCACCTGCAGTGTGAGCTTGCCCAGGGGCTGCCCCAGCCCCCTGCCAGCCCCCGTGGGCACCGCCGCTGCCCGGGCCAGGCTGGGCTGCTCCTCCCGGTTCTTCTCCCGCAGGGGCTCTCTCCAGCCCTTTGTGCTGCTCCAGGGCTCAAACCAGGCTGGCCCAGGGCCAGGAGCGGCACTGCACTGGTTTTCTTTCCTCCATTCCCATTCCAAGTCCTCTGCTGGGACAAGCCATGGAGTTCCTGTTAAAAGAGCACAGGAGAGAAAGAAAGATTTGAGGCAATTCCTTTGCCTGCTGTTCATCCCAATCCATACAGGAATCCCAGAGGCTGAGGGACAACAAAGAGCTGGGAGGGGACACAGCCAGAGGTGATGCAGCTGACCCAAGGGTATCCCAGATCAGGAGACAGAGCTGAGGGAAGAGGAAAGGAAGCACTTGGAATGATGGGGCTTTGACCTCCCAAGTCACAGCAGGCACAGTGGAGCTCTTCTGGGGATGGGAAAGTGGGCAGGGGGTCCCCGGGGTCCCTCCAGGGGGTTCCAGGGAGGCTGGAGAGGGACCTGGGACAAGGGGAAACGGTCTGAAACTGAAGGAGGGCAGGCTGGCACCAGCCAGTGCCAACACTGCAGCTGAATCCCAGGGGAATTTCTGTAGGAAGCACCTTGGGCAGGTTCAAGAGAATTCCTTCCCCAGGTGCCCCATTACCAGCACATCTTTATCAAATGCCCCTTTTGAAAGGCCCAGCATTGTTCATTTTCCAGGTTTCTCTCCATGGAAAGAGCAGCTATTTACCAGCAATCACACATTTTTAAGGAGCCTTTCTGCTGGCCTAAGCCCTGTGGCTCTTCATCCATGTTTTGGAAGATCAATTGGCTGCTCCCAAATGTTCAGTGTGCCTCCAGGAATTCAGTTACTCACACACACAGTGATGTGAATACATCAGCTGGGATTCTGAGCAGATATTCTGAATTTTCTAAATAAAACCCTTATGAGAATGATCAGTCCCCACAACAACAACAGTGATGAGTAAGGGAAATATTTTTAAACATTAAATTGTGACGTTGTGAAGAGTGGCAGGAATTTAAGAGACAAAGAAAATACAAAAACATCAGGAGACTCCACCAGCATCCTAAAAATGCAACTCTCAAAAACAGTCGAGTTTTCACCCAAGGACTCTGTGAAAATCTGCTAGGAAGCCTCAGGGCATGAGACATTAAGGACAAGGTGGTGACCGGCACTGAGAGTTTAACAGAATGTTTTGTACCTCAGCAATCAGCATTAAGCACCTACACATCCCCAGCTCTCCGCAGTGTTTGTTGCTCCCTAGTGACTGCATTCCTGCCGTGACTGCCATTCCCCGGCTGAGCCCAGCAGAAGGCAGCACTGCCATCCCACCGCAGGGTCTGCTTGAGCTCCCATGAGATGCCACGAGCAGGGGGCTGTGCCAGGGACAGCTCTTGGAGGCCCACGGGCCCACCGGGTGTGATATGTAATGTATGTTATGAAATAATTAGCGCTAAATTAAATTAAAACCACAGCATCTTGTGTACTGAAACCAGTGTCGAGCAACAAGCAAGCTAAGGGATAGAAATCCAAAATGCCAGGAAGACACCGTCCCCAGAGGTGTATATTCCAAAGGTGTATATTCCAGAGGTGTATATTCCAAAGGTGTATATTCCAAGGGGTTTATCGTCTGACAAGACCCCAGCTGGAGGCATTTCTGATAGGCAACAGCAGCAGCAACAGACTAAGTGATAAAGATTCAAACCCCAAGAAGACACTGTCCCCAGAAATGTGTATTCCAAGGGATTTCTCTGGTCTGACTAGGCCCCAGCAGGAGGCATTCTGATAGGCATCAGCAGAAGCTTATCCCAGAGATTTTCGCCTGCACCGGGAAAGCATGAGAGTATGCTAAAGAAGATAATTTGCTAAAGAAAATAACATGCTTAAGATCCCTTCCAAAGCCCAGAGACTGTATAAAAATGGACCCCTTAGACCTGACCCTCGGAGACCCACAGGGACTTTGGTGCCAGAGAGGCCAAGCCCTAAATCTCCCTGACACTGATGGCCTGGCTCAGAGTCGAATCACTTGTGGCTTTGTTTAAATTTATGCTTTGATCCTACAATAAATTTCTTTAATTATGCCATCGGAGCATTCATTTATAACACAGCAAGGGCAGTGGCAGTGCCCTGCAGAGATGCTCCTCAGGCTCTGGGCTCTCCTCGCAGCTCAAGGGGAGGAAGGAGCCTTCCCCACGGTGCTCTGCAGCACTGTGCCAGTTTATCCCAGTTCTGTCCTGCCCTTTGGCCCACTCGCCTTCCCTACATGTTTATGTTCTAGACAGTTCTCCCTTCCCCGTGCTCCCAACGGTTTGTGTAACCCTGCCCATCCACCCTGGCATTCCCTTCTGTGTGGAATGCTCTGAATCCTCTCCCTCAGGGAAACCCCAGGGCCTTGCCTCCCAGATTGAAAAGCAAGATGTATTAATTTCCCAGCTGTATGGCAGTTGTATTGTTAAGTGGGCAGTTTTCCTTCTCTCTTCCACAACCAGGCCTCTCTCAGAGGAGACATCTGCTGTTAACAGGCCACTGAATGTCACTGTGTGACTGGTAAGAGCTGTAACATCCCACTGGGAGGTGCTGTGCCCAGAGGAAGGAGCCAAGAATTTCTACCTGGATATAATCTGGAGTTTCTGGAACACCAGCACGGCTTTTCCTCCACTGATTTCCCAGAGCAGCAGCTGCCTCTTCCACTGCAGGAAGACTACACCCTTTTCTACAGGGTCACTGCTCCAAAGAACCACACCTGCCACTCCAGCAGCCACAATTCCCAATTAAACTGCCACCAACACGCGCAGTGTCAGGTTGTATTCTGACTCTGTCAGTGCTGTTTTGGTCCACTGCATTGTTTATTTTATCTTTTTATTTTCTTCCCTAATGAAGAACTGTTATTCCTGCTGCCATATTTTTGCCTGAGAGCCCCCTTAGTTTCAAATTTATAACAGAGGGAAGGGGGGAATGAAATTTTCCATTCCAGGGGAGGCTCCTGCCTTCCTTAGCAGACACCTGGCTTTCCAAACCCAGACACCTTGGAGGAAGATATCGTAGAGCTTTCCCCACGCAGGCTGACAGAGAGGATGAGCCCCTGGTGCTGCCCATGTCCACAGACTGCCTCCCCCGTGGCCAGCTGACCCTGCCCACCCCAATTGCTCACCCTCATCCCCCCTGCAGTTGTGCCCTTTGCGCCCCATGCCCCCAGCTCACTGCCTCCACACTGCAGTTGGTTTGGGTTTGTCTCTGGTCCCTTTGGTGTGCAAAAAAACCTCTCTGGGATACATCCCACGAAGCCCCTCCTGTACCTCCCTGCTGAGCTGCCTGTGCTGTGTGAGTGAGTGCACGGAGCTGAACTGGCTGTCCTTCTGTCCTTACCCTGAGCAGCTGCTGAAGGACACCCCTAGAGAAGGCTGCAGCATTTCCACCACCCTGCAACCCCACCGGTCCCTTCACAGTGTGCTGCCCCTGGGCCCTCAGACCATGGACCCCTGATGCTCTTCTCTGCCCCTCTTTCCCCGAATTTACACCCTGTGTGTGCGCTGGTGCTCCCGTGGCTCCTGCCCCTTGGCACGAGATGCTCTTGGGGAAGGTGGTGTCCGCCACCACCAGAGACACAGCACAGGCCTGGGTGTCCCTGGCCCTGTCTCAGTGTGCCCAGCCCTGTCCCAGTGTCCCCAGCCCTGTCCCAGCTGTCCCCAGCCCTGTCCCGGCTGTCCCCAGCCCTGTCTCCGGCGCTGACCTTGCTGGAGGCGCAGCCTGCTCCTCTTGGTCTGTGTGTCCATCAGGAGGGTGCCCGGCTGTGCCCAGGGCTGCTGTGGGTGTCCCCAGGGCTGCTGTGGGTGTCCCCAGGGCTGTCCCTGGCTGTCCCCAGCCCTGTCCCGGGCTGTCCCCAGCCCTGTTCCCAGTGTCCCCAGCCCTGTCCCCAGCGCTGACCTTGCTGGAGGCGCAGCCTGCTCCTCCTGGTCCGTGTGTCCATCAGGAGGGTGCCCGGCTGTGCCCAGGGCTGCTGCCAGGCTGGGCCCTGGCCCCAGCCCGGGGGCTCCCGCAGCTGCTGGCTGCTCCTGGGCGTGGGGAAGGTCACCCCAACGTCCCGGGTGTTCTTCCTGGTGGCACTGCTGACGATCTCCAGGTCTCCTGGAACGGAAACCAAGCAGGGACGTCTCACTGCCGTGTGCCAGGGCAGGGAATGACCCCACTCCACTCCACCCACCTCCAACAGCCCAAACCTTTCACATTCCCACTTCCCCAAACCAAGGAGAGTTTCCAGTGGCTGGGGATGGTTACTGCATGTTAATTTGAGTGAAATTAAAACCAAATACCCCAGGCAAACTATACATTTATCTGGGGGTGGGAATTCAACTGGAATTAACTCTGCCTTATGAAAACCCTTCCCTGATTCAATCCGCTTGCACACAAGCAGGAATAAATAAATAATTGCTGTATCTGATGAATAAACCAAGGCCATTACTCAATGTGATGATGGGGAGTTGGCGTGGAAATGAAAGCAATGAAGAAACTGCTAATTGCCACCAGAAAAAACCCAACTGCAGAACTGCACCAGGCCAGGAGCAGCTCGGGACTGAAATAGAATTTAACACCCAAAATATTCCCGGGAAGAGCACGGAACACTGCAGTTGCCTTCTGAAATAGCATATGCCTACAAAACCCATTCTGGGAGGAACAGATGTCTTGGGGAAAAAACAATAGATGAAAAAAGGCAGCTCACCTTTGCCATTGAAACGGAGCAGAAGCTGAGGTTAATAAACTTACAAGTGAGAAAACTGGTTTTTAAAGCAACCCAAGAATGGCAATTAAACAGCTCATGCTCACTGAACACATCACCCTTCCCTGACAGCATGTGAAGGGAATTTGGAGGGTGCTGCCTGTGCAGACCCCTGCCCAGGAACACCCAGGCTGTGGAGAACGGGCTCCAAAGACAGCAGAGGCAGGAGGAGCCAGGGAAGTGTGGAATTGTGGAAGTCAGGGCCTCACCTGCCTGGATCCCTTTGTTCAGCATCCGTGCCCGTCGCTTGCTGCTGAGGGCAGAGCTGGGCCCCCAGGAACTGCTGCTGGCACAGGTGGACTCCAAGGAAAAGGAGATGGTGTGCTGCAAAAACAGGCAGGAGAACAGAAATTCCAACCAAAATGAGCAGCAAACAGGATTCAAACAGAAAAGAGTCGTTGCTTTTTCCTTGCTGTACCTTGGTTCTGTTGTTAATGCTGAGCCCAGGCTGATCTGTCCCACTGCTCTCACAAACCCAGCCCTGCTGCACCCTGGGCACTTCCAGCAGCCCCCTTTGGTACATCATTAAAAAGCACATTATTTGCACTAGAAAAGCACATTATTTCTGTGGGAAGAGCTTGCTGGCATCAGTCAGGACAGCACTGGGCATCCTCCAACCCACCTGGGGCTGTTGAGCTGCAGGCAGAGCTCAGAGCCCCTGCAGGGCCTGGAGGGGCTCCAGGAGAGCTGGAGAGGGGCTGGGGACAAGGGACAGAGGGACAGGAGCCAGGGAATGGCTCCCACTGCCAGAGGGCTGGGATGGATGGGAGATTGGGAATTAGGAATTCTTCCCTGGCAGGGTGGGGAGACACAATCCTTTTGAAGCAGGGGAGCTCCCTCACCCTGTGATCCTCACCACAGTCCCACAGGTGGGAGAAATTAAACTCCATCAATCCAAGAAATAAGAGGGACCAGGGGAGTCTCACACCTTCATCCACACCAAGCCAGGTGTGAAAGCTGCAGGGCTGGGCACAGCTTGGAGATCACACGTTAATTTCAATTAATAAAGCCATCAGAAAGCAGGGCTGCTGTCCCAAGCCTTGGCTCGGTGCAGCACAGGAGGGCTGGGGCGTTATTAACACCAGTGACCTGGCAGCACCTCCAGGCTCTCTGTAATTCCTGACAGGGCCTGCAGCCCCCTGAGCTCCAGCTCCAACCCCAGAACTGCAGCCAGCAACCTGGAGAAAATTATTGGCGTCCTGTGAGTAACCCCAACACCACGGAAATGCAGAGGCCTCTTTATGCCCTTTTACTGCAGCTCTAGCACCCCAAACAAGACTTCAGTACTAGAAGGAGGCAGTTTTGGCTCTCATAAACCTGTTTTTCTTTAATCTCCTGTACCTATCCCCGCTCCAGGAGAGGCACTGCACAGATGCTCAGATATGGATTCTCTTTCAGATATTAGAATGTGCGAACATTTGAATTGTGAATGTGTGAATTTGAATTATGTGCTCGGCAAGAATGCGCAAAACCAGGGAGAAAAACCCTGAAATATCCTGAAATATCCCCTTCCCCTGCAGGTGCAGCACTGACCAGCAGCAGGCAGCCTGGGCAGTGCCAGGAATGCTCCTGGTGGATGGGAATGTTCCCTGCTCCCCAGCCTCAGCTCCAGGAAAAGCTCCTGGGCTGGCTCTGGGAGCTGCAGACACAAAACCCAGAAAGCTGGAAGCAGGTTTGCTGGGAGCAGAGCTGACAACGGGCTGCCAGCAAGCTGAGCTCCCAGTGCAGCATTCCCACGAGGACTGGGGCAGGGATCTCTCTGGGATCCTGCTCGGAACGGAGATCTGCCTCGGAATCAGACATCTGCACTAAAAGTACAAATAGATCGTGACTTTTCCTCAGCTAAACAGCCCAGAAGTGACCAAAACTGGAATTTTAAATTAAATTTACTATTTTGCCATCTATTTTCTCTCACTCCTTATCTGAGGAGGGTTACATGTGTCTTCAGATGGATTTTTAAAAAAATATTTCACCAGCAGATAAAAAATGTGAGTTTCTAAAGCCATGGGGGTTCAATGAGCCTTTAAAGGGTTTATTCCCATAGCATTAATTCCATTTGTCATCTAACAGGTGATTTAACAGGTACCAAAAAATCACATTTGGGTTTACGGTACAATAGACCCTGAAAAATTCATCTTGCGAATGGAATGTGGAATAAAATCATCTTCTGAATTCTACAACTGTGCCAGAAACGTTGTATCCTAGTGCTGGTGTTCTGGTTAACAGTCCAAATATTGCAAAGGTCAGGACAGTTTTATTTTACCTTCAAATAAATGCTGTTAATAAAAATATTAAATAAAATATTTTTTAAGCCATTCTTCACCTTCAAAAAGATTGCTTCTCCCCCAGATTTGTTTAGTTATTTGCATTATTTCTCATTATTTCATCATTCACTGGCTTATTTGACAAACAGACTTGGAGTTGTTTCTATCAAATAAAATAGCTAATTTCAACTAAATCTGGTAGTAATTATGCCAGTTCTGCTTTCATCTGGAAATACAAAAAAGCAAAAGAAGTAATTCAATATTCCTCACTTGTTCTGTGCTTTTCAGCATTCCTGTGTATCGCAGAACCCCTGAACTCTGTAATTCCTTACTAAAATCACCAAATCCAGGCTGAGTCCCTCTTTAAAAACATTTCCATTTCTCCTGCCAAGGGCAACAGCCAACTTCACCTGAAGGAATTACTCCCTCCCCTTTCAAACAGCTGCACTGCAGAGTTCTCACCTGGAATTCTCAGCTCTTTACAGAAAAATGTCCACAACCAGCCGGACAAAACAATTTACACATTTTTACAAGACCAACAGCGGGGAAACTCCATCATTGTATGGATGCTTGCCCAGGGATGTCCTGGCTGGGACTTGCATCAGATTCACAACCTCTGCCCAAAGCAGAGCCTGCAGGTACAGGATCTGTCCCAGGGGAACGAGGGAAAGAATGTCCCAAGGGAACAAGGAAAGCAAGCACGGGAATGTCCCCAGGGAATGAAGGAAAGCAAGCACGGGAATGTCCCCAGGAATGAAGGAAAGCAAGCACGGGAATGTCCCCAGGAATGAAGGAAAGCAAGCATGAGAATGTCCCCAGGAATGAAGGAAAGCAAGCACGGGAATGTCCCAAGGGAACAAGGAAAGCAGCCCCAAAGCCAGGTCAGCTGGTGTTCTGCCAGCCTGAGCTGCTGCCCTGGCTCCTGCAGGCTCAGGCCTCGCCTGGCAGCTCCCAGGGAAGGCAGAAGCCTCCCCTGTCCCCAGGGTCTCAGGGCAGCTCCCAGGGAAGGCAGAAGCCTCCCCTGTCCCCAGGGTCTCGGTGAGTCCCCGCTCCCAGGGCCCAGCACAGCGGGAATTCCGTGGGGATGGGGCAGGGCAGGGCTCAGGGAGCTCTCACCTGGCTCTGCCGCTCCTTGCCCAGGCTCTGAGCAGCCCCTGCCCCTCCACTCTGCTCATGCCACTTCTGGGAGCGGTTCTTTTGCTGGCTGATGGCACTGTAGAGCCGGGCCAGCCCCGGGGCCAGCCCTGGGGCCAGCCGTGGGGCTGGGCTGGGGCTGTCGGTGTCCGGGACCCGCCGTGGGGCTGGGCTGGGGCTCTCGGTGTCCCGGGCCAGCCGTGGGGCCGGGCTGGCGCTGTCGGTGTGTGGGGCCAGGCTGGCGCTGTCGGTGTCCCGGGCCAGCCCCGGGGCCGGGCTGGCGCTGTCGGTGTCCCGGGCCAGCCCCGGGGCCGGGCTGGCGCTGTCGGTGTCCCGGGCCAGCCCCGGGGCCAGGCTGGCGCTGTCGGTGTCCCGGGCCAGCCGCAGCCTGCGCTGCCCGAAGGCGCGGAGCAGCCTGGCCGTGTCGATGGTGGACAGGGACACGGAGCTGCTGTCCCCCGAGGCCGGGGACGTGTCGGGCCCCGCCGGGGTGTCCCAGGCCGAGCTGCTGCTGGGCTCCGCGCTCAGCCTGCTCTCCGGGGAGCTGTCACTGGGCATTGCCAGGCGCTGCTGCTCCTGCAGAGCCCGGCTCAGCTGCTGGGTCACCTCCCGGGCCGCCCTGGGCCGCCCCGGGCTGCCTCTGCCCCGGCTCACGCGTGGCCTCCGTGCCGCCAGCGCTGCCCTGGGCTCCACACCGCACCCAGACCCGGCTCTCCCTGCCAGCCCAGCTCCTGGCCGCTCCCTTCCCTGGCTCTGCTCCTCGGGAGCCTTCTGCCCCGCTGCCAGGGCGTGCCGAACGGGGTTCTGCAGGAGCCTGGCCAGCCGATCCAGCCGCTGCACGAGGGACAGCTCCCCGCTCCCGCCGAGCTGCTGCTGCTGCTGCCTGCCCTGGCGCTCCAGGAACCTCACCCACAGCTCATCCAGGCCGCCCCTGGCACGGCCTCTCTGCCGCGGCGCCTTCCCCACGCTCTCATCTGGGCGAGCTGGCCGGCCATGGAGCCCGGGATCGCTGCCAGCAGCTCCATAGGGCAGCTCCGTGCCGGCAGCTCCGTGGGGCAGCTCCGTGCCGGCAGCTCCGTGGGGCAGCTCTGTGTCGGCAGCCCCGTGGGGCAGCTCCATGCCAGCAGCTCCATGGGGCAGCTCTGTGCCAGCAGCCCCATTCCCAAAGGACGCCCCGGCGCCCGGCTCCTCGCTCCTGCTGTCATCGGCCTCCGCAGCGAGGGTGAAGAACGGCCCCGCTGTCCCCCGGGGGGCACGGGGACCCCGCCGGCGCCGGGGGGCAGCCCCCGAGGAGCGGGCAGCGTGCTCAGCTCCGGCCCCGTGCCGGGAGAGCTCTGTGGGATCCCGGCAGCTCTGCCCGGTGGGCATCGCACGGCGCAGGGGCAGCGGGGCGGGCACACGGACACCGTGCCTGGAACCATCTGGGAGCTCTGCAAGACAGAAAACACTGGAATGGTTTGTTGCTCTGCTCGAAGCGGAGGATTTTCACCCTAAAACACAACAGAGGATTAAAAGTGAGATGCAGTGTGAGCATTATTAAAATCACATAAACAAATATTTCCTATCTTTTGCAACACAAAATATTCCATCCAAGTGAATCTGGGGAGGAATCTAATTCCACCTCAGGGAACTGCCCTGACCAGCCCTGAATTGAACCTTTATTTGGTCCTGGAAGGGACCCCAAAGCCCACCCGGTGCCACGGGCAGGGACAGCTCCCACTGTGCCAGGCTGCTCCAATTCCCACCCAGCCTGGCCCTGGACACTGCCAGGGATGGGGATGCCCTGGCCAGCCATGAAACACGTGCAGCACAAGCCAGGACCACTCTCCAGAACAGCTTTAAAGTGATTTTTAACATAATGTAAAAACTACCAAGTTTTAAAATGTGTTTTGTGTTTTTTGTAGAAAGGACTGGGTGGTTGGATCTCCTCCCTTCCCAGCCCAGGGGCTGAGGTGGAACACAGAGATCAGGGATGCTGCAGCCAGGGCCAGCCTCACTAACTCTGGAAGTGCGGGAATTTTTCTTCCCATACAAGGGCAATGTTTATAAACTTGTGTAAGAGGCTTCCTCCACATCCTCCTGACAAATGAGATCAGGCTTGGGAATGCCAGGCAGAACTTAGCTATTCCTGGCTTTTTAGAAAGTTACCAAGAAATTGAAGGAATGTAAACAGGCAAAAAAATAAAAATAAGTTTGTATAGAGAAACTTTTTTTTAAAAAAAATACATAACTTGCATAAATTTAAGTTCTAGACAAGCTCTGTGGGTAGAGGTAATCTTTTATTAGATCATCTAAAAATACAGTTGAAGAAGTCAGGGAAGATTTAAGACACACAAGTCTTTCTTCTGAAAGCTCCTTTAAAGTTCCAGCTGCACTGGCTGCCTTCACAAAAGATTCTTTCCCCTTACAGTTCTTTCCTTACCTGGGCCTTTAGACCATCACAGCAATAAAAAATGTTAGGTGATAATTTTATGTTAACACTTTTGTTCCCTCCTTATTTTTATCCAGGTTATTGATGTTGCAGCCTTACATAATCATTGAAATTTTCCTCTGCAAATAAAAATTGTCTTCTGGAAACACCAAAGTCTCTCCATTCTGAGAGGAAAAGCTTCAAAGAAAAAACCCCATGTGAAGTGAAATGATCAGATGGAAACCCTATCAACACATCGGACAAGGCCCTGGCAGGACCTCACACAGCAGCTGCTGCAGAGATGCAGCCACCAGGGATGGTCTGGCTCCAGCACCTGTGTGCAGGGAGGAACACCCAGCACCAGCCACACACAGGCAGAGCTTGTGCTCTACAAAGTGTCCAGGAGGATTCCTTCCAGCCGGGGTAATGTCAGTGCTGGTGGCACTTCAGTGCCACCTGAGCCAGGTGGCACCCAGGGCTGGGCTCAGCCTGACCCCTGGGGCAGCATCCTCACCAAACACCGCCTGAGTAGCCTTCATCCTCCTCCTCCTCCTCACCAAACACAGCCTGGAGAGCAAACCCTGACCTTCCTCCTCACCAAACACAGCCTGAGTGACCTTCCTCCTCACCAAACACAGCCTGCAGTGACCTTCCTCCTTCTCCTCACCAAACACAGCCTGGAGAGCAAACCCTGACCTTCCTCCTCCTCCTCACCAAACACAGCCTGGAGAGCAAACCCTGACCTTCCTCCTCCTCCTCACCAAACACAGCCTGGAGAGCAAACCCTGACCTTCCTCCTCCTCCTCCTCACCAAACACAGCCTGGAGAGCAAACCCTGACCTTCCTCCTCCTCCTCCTCACCAAACACAGCCTGGAGAGCAAACCCTGACCTTCCTCCTCCTCCTCCTCACCAAACACAGCCTGGAGAGCAAACCCTGACCTTCCTCCTCCTCCTCCTCACCAAACACAGCCTGGAGAGCAAACCCTGACCTTCCTCCTCCTCCTCCTCACCAAACACAGCCTGGAGAGCAAACCCTGACCTTCCTCCTCCTCCTCCTCACCAAACACAGCCTGGAGAGCAAACCCTGACCTTCCTCCTCCCAGGCAGCTCCTCCAGCCAGGCAGGGACAGGGCAGTGACAGGGACAAGGACAGGGACAATGTTGGGGCAGGGACAGGGCAGTGACAAGGACAGGGACAAGGACAGGGACAAGGACAGGGACAAGGTCGGGGCAGGGATAGGTCGGTGACAAGGACAGGGATAAGGACAGGGACAGGGACAGCAGCACATTGAACTGCAGCTCGGGGACACGCAGGGCACAGAGGAACCTGATGTGACATCACAGGCCAGTGGAGTGTCCCTGGGCAGGGACAGCCCCAGCCCCAGCCCAGCTCAGGGAATCCCAGCCACAGGGAATTCCTGACAATCCCTGGAGACACAGGAATGCCAGCAAATGCTGATGGCCGACTTTTCCCTGGAATCCTGCAATGGGCTGGGCTGGAGGGATCTGAAATCCCATCCAGTGTGACCCCTGCCAGGGCAGGGACATCTCCCGCTGTCCCAGGCTGCTCCAGCCCTGTGCAGCCTGGCCTGGGACACTCCAGGGGTGCAGAGTGCAGAGCCTCCCAGGGAATCCTGGATTTTATCAGCCAGGGAGAAGCAGAAGGACAGGAAGAGAAAACTGAGTCAAATTTAGCAATTTCTGGCAGACTCTCAGCAATGCCACCAGAACCATGGATCCTGAAATGTCAGCTCTTTTGCTCTGACTTCCTTCACGTGTATGAACACACAGAAACGATTACAAAATTAAATCCACATTCTAATTACCTGGAGGCTGTTCCCGTGGCGTGCTGTGCTCCTCAGGCCAGGCCAGCTTGGGCCGGTGAGCGTGGATTGTCCCTCTGTGCTGGGCAGCTGCCCTGGCTGCAGGGAGATCGTCCCCCACACCCAGCACTGCGGCTAGGAGCCCTGCAGGAGCCTCCTCTGAGCCTGCACAGGGAGAGCAGCGGGAGGAAACAGGAGAGCAGACACAGAAATGCCACAATTAACCAGCAAGCAGGAGCCCTGGGATGTCCAGGCCAGGCTGGATGGGGCTGGCAGCAGCCTGGGACCATGGGAGGTGTGGAATGGGATGGGCTTTAAGGTCCTTCCAACCAAACCATTCCATGACTCCATGAGCCTGCCCCTGTCTCCAGGTTAGAAACCTTGAGCTGTCCCCAGCAATTTCTCATCCTTGCCAACCCCACCTGGTTACATCCCATGGATTTCCTGCACTCAGCTCCCTCAGCTGCCCCCCTGAGCTGAGCCCTGAGTGCAGCAGGGACTGGGAAAAACAAAATGTATTTTTCCATCCTGCTGTACGCTTTCCTAGAACCTTGTGCTGCTTCATTTGCATAGTGAATTTTTATATATGGCATCATCATTTCTGCAAAACAACAGATTTGTAGCACATTTGTTTCTCTCATTTTGGACACGTTTCCCCAGATAAACTTGAAAAAGGTCAAGAGCAGGGACACCTAAACAGAGCCCAGCACAATTTGTGGCTGTGGTGACTGATCTGGGCACTTGTGGCACTGCTGGATCAGCCTGACCCTTTGGTCACCACTGCTGGAATTCAGGAACTGGACATCTCTAACACAAAACTCTCAGTATTATAAAGCTCTGAGTGAAACCGAGCTGCAAATAAAACCTGTGATAACCTGTAATAAAAACCTGTGAAAACCTGTAATAAACCCAGTGGCCTGTTCTTTCCAGGAAAAGTGGCAGAGATCTGAAAGGATCCCAAGTGAGCAGCAATTCCCAGAGGAAAGCAGGGCTGATGGGGCTGCAAACACCCAGTTCTGCTCCTTTTGGCTGCAGGAACAGAGTGAGCAGCCCCTGCAGCCCAGAGGAGGAGAGCAGAGCCCGCGGGCAGGATCTGCCACCCGGCTCACAGATAATTCAGCACAGTGTCACTGGCCTGGACAGAGTGCGAGTACCTGAGTGGGAGCTGGCTGTGCTGGCCTCGGGCTCCCCGGGGGACACGGTGGCTCCTGGCTTCTGGAAAGGCACATAATACATGCCAGAGCTTCCCGAGGGCTTGTAGGGCAGCAGCAGGGGCTGGGCTGGGGGGGCAAGGCAAACAGTGAGCAGGAGCCAGGCTGGACACCCCTCAAGCAACAGGGCAGGGCCTGGGCAGGCTGCTCCTGCTGCTAGAGCCTGAGGAATACCCTGTTCTTTAGCCAAATGGATTGCTATTTCATTAGCTAAATTAGATTAATTGCATTTTTTAATCCCCACCCACAGGCAGAAGGTTACCATCCCTTGCCTGGAAAACAGCTTCATCTGTTCAGTATTAGAACTGTGATCAGGGTGGCAAACTGACTTCCAGAAACATTTCCTGTACTCACAGAGCTCCAGCTGATCCCAGTTTGAGGGAATTATATATATATATATAATTATAAAGGAGCAGGGATTTGTCCCTCAAGTCAATGAAAGCAACAACAGAGCTCCAGCACCAGACACCACAGGGGTGGGAAACCCTGGGAACATCCACATCCCTCTGCTGATAGATACCCCAAACCCTGCAGAGTTTTCTGTTTTGTTCTATTAAAAACAGCCATGTGCAGATTTACCCCGGAGTTTTTGGTGTTATCTTGACTAGAGAGTAAACCAGCAATCAGCTCCAGCTCTCACTGAACCCCAAGTGAATCAAATCAAACCATCTACACACAAACACCAGAAAATATCCTCCAACCACACCTGGACACAATGGATTCAGCTCTAGAGAAACCTGAACTGAATCCCAACTCTGTCCACACAAATCCCTCCCGACAGGGCTGAAAAACTCAAGTTTAAGGGTTGGGTTTTTCCCCTCATATGAGCAACTTCAAATATCCCAGTTATCTCAAGGATGTTATTTCCACAAACAAGCTGGGTTTGGTTTTGTGCTTTCACATCCATCATCACAAATTCCGGTGCACAGGCAGCACAGGCAGGAATCTGCTCACCTGGCTGCCTCGGGAAGGGGGGAATCTCCCTGTGGGATGGAGCTGCAGTCCCAGGAGCTGCAGGGGCGCTGGGGAGGGATGGCAGCTGGGCAGGGCCTCCCTCCTCCTGGGGACCAACACAGATTTCTGCGGAGAGCGTGGCTTTGGTGGCACCTTCCGTGGTGATCTGGGTGGCAGCGTCGCAAGTCCTCGTCCCAGCTTTTGGAGCAGGGGCAGAGCTGGGGGTGCCCCGTGCCCCCCGAGCCCCCCAGTCCCGGAGCTGGGCTCTGGCCCTGCCCTGCAGCTCCTGCCTGGGGGAAAACGCCCGGCTGGGACCCGCTGGGGGCACCGGCTCAGCTGAGCTGGGATCCTCTGGAGCACCCTCAGCAGGAGGGGATGCAGGAACACCTTCCCCTGAAGCTTCTGGAGCTGCTTTTAGAGTCACTGCCTGAGCCTGAGCCTTCCCGTGAGCTTTGTCCCACAGCTGGGTCCCGTTCCCCCCACTCCCAGCCCTGGAGGAGAGGGTGATGTGCACACAGCTCAGGAATCTCCTCACTGGCGACGAGGGAGCCTCAGGCCCGGTGGATAAAGCCTCATCTGCAGGGACAGGCTGAGCAGCACCCCTCTGCTCCCTCACAGCCTCTTCTGGCGGCTCCTGGGGGCTTTTCCTGCCCTGGGCAGGGCCCTGCAGCAAAGCCCTGTGTGCAGCTGCCCCTGGGCTCTCTGAGCTGTGGCCAGGGGGGATCTCCTGCTGCCGGGGTGGGCTCGGAGCGGGGGGTTCTGGGGCTGCCTGCACCTCCTGGCTGAGCCCCCTGGCTGTGGCACGCCGTGCGTCCCGCTCGGGCACAGCTCCAGGCAGCAGCCGGGGCTGCTCTGTGCCCGGGCTCTGCCTTTCCCCAGCCAGGCTGCCGGGCTGCTGGGCAGCTTGCTGCGGAGCTGCGGGGCCAGCAGCAATGCAGGGCTTCAGCTGTGGGTCAGCAGCAATGCAGGGCTTCAGCTGTGGGTCAGCAGCAATGCAGGGCTTCAGCTGCGTGTCCTGCAGCTCAGCAGCAATGCAGGGCTTCGGCTGCGTGTCCTGCAGGTCAGCAGCAATGCAGGGCTTCGGCTGCGTGTCCTGCAGGTCAGCAGCAATGCAGGGCTTCAGCTGTGGGTCAGCAGCGCTGCAGGGCTTCAGCTGCAGGTCAGCAGCAATGCAGGGCTTCAGCTGCGTGTCCTGCAGGTCAGCAGCAATGCAGGGCTTCAGCTGCGTGTCCTGCAGGTCAGCAGCAATGCAGGGCTTCAGCTGCAGGTCCTGCAGGTCAGCAGCACTGCAGGGCTTCAGCTGCAGGTCCTGCAGGTCAGCAGCATTGTAGGGCTTCAGTTGCATGTCCTGCAGCTCCACAGCACTGCAGGGCTTCAGATGGATGTCCTGCAGGTCAGCAGCACTCCAAGGTTTCAGCTGCATGTCCTGCAGCAGGGAGCAATCCCAGGGATCAGCTCTAGGCAATGGTGCTGCTGGTGGGGAGCTGGGCTGGAGGAGCTCCCCAGTCCTGGAGAACTGTCTGTGAGTGCTGGAGAACTGTCCATGAGTGCTGGAGAGCTGTCCATGGGTGCTGGAGAACTGTCCATGAGTGCTGGAGAGCTGTCCGTGAGTGCTGGAGAGCTGTCCATGAGTGCTGCAGAGCTGTCCATGAGTGCTGCAGAGCTGTCCATGAGTGCTGGAGAACTGTCCATGAGTGCTGGAGAGCTGTCCCTGTGTGCTGCAGGGCTGTCCACCCCTGTCCCCGGGACAGCTGGCAGCCTGGACACGCTCCTGCTCCTGCTTCCTCAGGTACTCAGAAGCTGCTCCCAACCCACAGCGCCAGGGGTCCTGAAAAGCAGAGCACAGTTCACAGGGGTCGTGTGGAGAACATCCCACCCTGGCCAAACCTGGCAGGAACAGCCAAAGATGAGAGCTGTCACCAGCCAAGAGTTTGTCATCAGGAAGGGAAGGAACCCAGCTAAGGAATTAGTTCCTTAACGTCCCCAGCTGTAAGGAACTCATTAAACTTTATCCTTTAGAAGTGCCAAGTGACCATGCCCAGCCACAGGAGAGGCTGCCCTGGAGCACAGCACAGCAGCCCCCACCTGAGCTGAGATCTCCTCACCTGATCTGCCCTGACTGAGCAGAGTCATCCCAGAGCTGCTCCCAGCCCCGACAGGGGATCCTGGCAAGGAATTCCTGCCTGGGAGGTGGGCAGGGCTGGGCTGGAATTCCCAGAGCAGCTGTGGCTGCCCCTGGATCCCTGGCAGTGCCCAAGGCCAGGCTGGAGCCTGGAGCAGCCTGGGGCAGTGGAGCTGTCCCTGCACCTGCACAGCCCGTGCCAGGAGCAGCAGCTCTCCCAGCCCTGCCCTTCAGGTCTGCCATGGGCACCTGGGGCAGCACGGGGCACACACACCATTCCATGGGGACCCAGCCCTCCCATCCCCATGTCCCAGGTGTGGGGCTCAGGCCACCACCCTCCTGTGCACGGAACTTCTGCAGTGGCCTCAAGTCGCACCAGAGGACATTGAGAAAGGATCTCAGGACAAATTCCTCCCTGGAAAGGGTTAGCAGGCATTGGAACAGGGAACTGGTGGTGTCACCATCCCTGGAATTGCACAAAAATGTGTGGGTGAGGCACTTGAGGATCCTCTGGTGCTGAATACGGTGGTGCTGTTTGATGGTTGGACTTGATGATTTTGGAGGCCTTTTCCAGCCTGAATGATTCCATGATTCCAACCATCAACATAAATTTATTCATTCAAGTACAACCCAAAATTCCAGCACTTGCACTGAAGAGAGGAAATCTGAGATAAATGTGCTGCCATGGAGATGGGCCAGATAAGCTGAATTAGAGAAAAAAGGCACAAAAATCTAGGCTATATTTACTTTTTCCTACTGGTTGGGCCAACTGTGGAAGCAGCAGAGTGTACTCCAGTCATGAGGCACCACGGGTCCCTGGGTGATTATATCCCCATCAACCAGTGGGAATTTGGCAATGAAAAGCAGCGGGAAACATTTTTGGTGTAAAACAAACACATAAACAAGTATTTCACAACAGCTTTCCCAGCCTTTCTCCATCCCAGATATCCTGACAGCAGCAACTCCTCCAGCAGGGCCTGGATCGCTATCCCACTTTTCTATCCCTTTATGGATTTTAAGGCAAGAAATGTGTTTATTGGGCATTTCCTCCAGCCAGGAGGGCCTGAGGAAGAGCACAGGGCCAGGGCCAGGGCTCTGCCAGCACAGGGATGGTCCCAAGACTTCTCCTCCCTGCACCACGTGCCAGTTCAATGGCCTGAGGTAATCCAGAGCAACTCCCACCCGCGAGAGCAGGCACAGAAGTTGTGATAAACTCATCTTCCCAAGCCTTTCACATGTTTTATTGTGCCTCTTATGTGTCATGCTTCCAAAAAAGCTCCCTGTGCCATATGATCCACAGGAGCCTGCAGAGCAAATTTAGAGCTACAACTCCCTGAACTTCCTGGAGAAGTGAGAAAGCTCAAGGAGTGGAAAAGTACAGCAGGGAGTGGAGGAAAACACTGCACCGAGAGGGAAGGAACCCACAGGGAAGGGGAGAGGGAGCATCTGGCACCCTAAAATAAGGTGGGGAGATCAGGTCCTCAGCTTAGGAGGAAAATCCTGAGGTTGAAGATGCTGGAATTGTGTTTACATCCAACAGCAGCTCCAAACCTGCCACGGCAGGGACAGCTCCCACTGCCCCAGGTGGATCCAACCCCAGCGTCCAACCTGGGCACTGCCAGGGATCCAGGGGCAGCCACAGCAAATCTGGGAATTCCAGCCCAGCCAGCAATTCCTTGCCAAGATCCCAGCCCAAGCTCCCCTTTCCCAGTGGGAGCCATTCCCTGGCTCCTGTCCCTCTGTCCCTTGTCCCCAGTCCCTCTCCAGCTCTCCTGGAGCTCCTTCAGGGACTCTGAGCATTCCCTGGAATTGTCCCTTCTCCAGGGGAACATTCCCAGCTCTCCCAGCCTGTTCATGTTGAATATTCCAGGGGTTTTGAGCCCTCCAGAGCACTCCAGGCCATGTTTGCAGCCCCTTGCTGTGCCCCTCCTGAAGCCTCTGCTCAGGCAGATGTGGGAAACCCGCAGGATTTTCCCTGCCTGTGACAAACACCTCCCTGAGACCCTCAACAGCCTCAAAAGATGGAAAATCTTCCCAAGTGAAACATCCCAGAGAACTTCCCCAGGTTCTGCTCCTTTCTCTGCCCTCAGGCTTCACACACTTCCCGTGGCAAACAAGAAAATGCCAAGAAAATCCAGGGGCACCTGAATTCCTGGAGCTGTCACCTCTGAAAGTGAGGCAGAGGCTGAACATTCCCAAGGACACCCAGCCAAACCTGCCCCACAGGCACTGCACAGAGACCCTGCTGCAGGAGTTGTTTGCTTCAGCTGTAGGAACAGTTTGCCCTTCTCAGTCTGAAAAGCTTAGGAGAAGGAAAATGTCTTTTCCTAACCTCTGTTCTGTTCTATTTAAGCCCATGCATGGCACTTTGGCTCTAAAACTTCCACCCTTATTGTACACAACAGTTCCCATCACATTTACAGCAGAATATTTTGCCTGGCTGTGGTTTTTTCAGTGCAATAGTTTTGAACAATCTGTATTTTTCAGTGACAGTGTTTGTCTTGGAGGGAAAAGTACATTTATCTTAAGTACAATAAAAAAAACCCAGTGACCTTCACTCTGTAAATTCAAACCTTTTTTTATCTCAAATTAAAAACATTGCAGTGCAAAAGTACTTTCCAGATCAAAGCACGAGGTGCTGTGGTTGAACTAAAGCCATTTCTTGGGAGCTTGGTTTGCAACATTATGGGGAATTTCTTCTTACTCTAAATGGGGATAAAACAATCCCCAGCTGACACTGAGTCACAGAAAGGTAAAATCCCTGGGTCCACACTGCACAGAGCTCATTTTAGGGACAAAGCTGTGACCAACAAAATCTAAAATCTGGGGGGGAAAAGTTTTGATGCCTCTGGTTTTGTATTTCTGTTTTGTTTCTTTATTTTAAGAAATCTTAAATTTAAGAAATGTGAACTTCTAAAATATAATATTTATAATACTATTATATATTAAATATAATATATAACATTAATTTTTTATATATTCTGTATTATAAAAATATATTATTGTATGTGTATCATTTATTTCTATAATAATTATTAATAAAATAGCCACTTTCTTTTCCCCAGCTGCCCAGAGATTCCACCAGCCCAGGAATAGCTGGGAAGTTGGGCCTGATGGGGTTTGGGAGCTGCTGTGTCTCCTCCCAGCACTGCTGATGCAGAGAAGCTCTGAACACAGAGTACTCCTGAAGCACGACTGTCACTCCTGCTAATGCAGGGCTTTTAATTAAAACAAACAAACCAACCCCTGATGCTTTTCCCAGAAGGCAGGCAGGCTGCAGGAGAAAATAGGAAAATAATCAAGGGAAAAAATAAAGAGGAAGCTCTTCCTAAAGCTCACGGCACTTGTCTGAACCACTGGTCCCTAAAAACCCTGCCCATGTCACCCTGGAGACCAGAGCAGTGCCAGAAACGGCATTTAAAGTGAAAACAAAGGCAACACACTCCTGCTCAGACAAACTGCAGCCCCAACATGTGTTTTATAATGAACTAGAAGCACTCCAGAGGAGATGCACCACCCATGGCAGCTCCAGGCAGTCAGAGCTGCAGAGCCTGAACCTCCTCAGCCCTGAGCCCTCATCCTGTGATCCTGCCCCAGCCCAGCACAGCCACCCCCACGCTCCCCCAGACACTGCCCAGCTCTCTGGAGAGCATCCTGTGTGCCCAGCATCCTCACCTGCAGGAGCCTGGAGCAGCCCTTCCCTTCCCTTCCCTTCCCTTCCCTTCCCTTCCCTTCCCTTCCCTTCCCTTCCCTTCCCTTCCCTTCCCTTCCCTTCCCTTCCCTTCCCTTCCCTTCCCTTCCCTTCCCTTCCCTTCCCTTCCCTTCCCTTCCCTTCCCTTCCCTTCCCTTCCCTTCCCTTCCCTTCCCTTCCCTTCCCTTCCCTTCCCTTCCCTTCCCTTCCCTTCCCCTCCCTGTTCTTTTGAGAGTTTTAAAGTTCCTATATGCCTTCTGATATTTACATATTTCAGCTGAGTTTTCCCACACTGTTCATGCAAACAATGATTGTTTTGCATTTTTCTTTGTGGGAGGAGAGGATTGATGGGCTGTTGGCTTGACCAGTGTGGTTGGAGAGGTGGCAGCGTCCCCCTCCAATCCACTGTCACTTTTGCTACTGTATATACACTGGAGTCAGAAAATAAAGTTTATTTTATTAAATTCTTTTTCTTTCCTTTTACATCTAGCCTACCTCTGATTTATTTTGTGCCAGAGTGACACTGCCCTGCCCTCTGCCCCAGCACAGGAGGGTTCCAGCTCCCCCTGCCCCAGGAGCCCCCCAAACCCACAAACCCTGCCACTGCCCGGGGCTGCCCCGTGCCCACCCAGCTCCTGCCACACCAGGAGAGTCTCCCAGGCACCACCAGCTCCTCCACAAACGTTCTGTGGCTAGAATTCCTGCAGCCAACCCAGAGCCAGGAGCTTTGGGCACTTCCCCACAGAACTCCAATCCTCCCCCCACCCCTCTGTCCTTCACACCTTCCTCTGGCACACCCCAGGGCCAAACCACCCCAAAGTGCCAGGGAAAAGCACAGCAAACCCTAAACCCCCCGAGGGCAGGTGCACAGCATTCCCCCGAGCTGGGCTGGTCTGTACCTTGGCCTGTGCAGGTCTCCTGGTCCTTGGGAGCAGCTCTGCCTCGACTCCCTCCATCCTGGGCAGGGTCTCTTCATCCCAGTCCGGCCCACGCTCCTGGGACTGGCTGGCCAGCTTCAGCTTCACCCAGGCTGCCAAAAACACAGACCAGCAGAGCTTTTCTTTCCCATTTCATGTACAAGAACAGTTTTTAACTTCAAGCCAAGCTGTGCATTTCTGGTTAGCCCGGCTGAGAGAACAAAGAGCACACGGAATTCCAGAGCTCCTGCAGTGACCAGGAATGCAATGGCAAACGGCTCCCTGAGAGTCTCTTTGGAGAAATGGATCCGAGACTCTTTCCTGGTTCTGTCATCCTCACAGGCTCAGGCACAAGTCAGAGCTCACTCACACAATCCCTTCCCACATTCCTGACTTCATAACTGTGTGGACAAAGTAATCCCTTACAGTGATGTCAGGAAAAGGTTTTCAAATTGGAAAAGCCCAATTCTACCCAATTCTGTCACAGCACAGAAAATTCCCCAGGTTCTGCTCCCTTCTCTGCCCTCAGGCTTCACACACTTCCTGTAGCAAACAAGAAAATGCCAAGAAAATCCAGGGGCACCTGAATTCCTGGAGCTGTCACCTCTGAAAGTGAGAGGCAGAGGCTGAACATTCCCAAAGAACATCCACCCAAACCTGCCCCACAGGCACTGCACAGAGACCCTGCTGGAGGTCAGAGGATCCCTGGGAAGTGTCCCTCACTGAAGCCCTCTCCATGAAAGCTTCTCATTACACTACATGAGAAAAAAATCAATATAATCCCCTTCAGGCAGGGAGCAGCCTCATCCCATCAGTCCGAGCAACCCCTGACACAAACCCACTCCAGGATGTGCCAAAGCCAGCCCAGGACATGCCAAAGCCAGCCCAGCATGTGCCAAACCCACCCCAGAACGTGCCAAAGCCAGCCTAGGACGTGCCAAACCCACCCCAGCATGTGCCAAATCCAGCCCAGGACGTGCCAAACCCACCCCAGGACGTGCCAAACCCACCCCAGGACGTGCCAAACCCACCCCAGGACGTGCCAAACCCACCCCAGGACGTGCCAAACCCACCCCAGGACGTGCCAAGGGCAGCTGAGAGGCACTCTCACCTCGGATCTTGCTCTCGTGCTCCTCGGCACTCCTCAGGAGGCTGCTGGCAGGGATCCCGGGGGAGGCGGTGCCCAGGAGGCTGCGGACACGGGCTGCCAGGGAGTCACCACTGCTGCTGCTGCTGCTGCCTGCCCGGCTCCTGGCACTGCCAGCCCTGGGCACACTGCTCTGGAATGCTCCCAGGGCACTGCCAGCCCCGGGCACGCTGCTCTGGAACAACCCTGGGGCACTGCCAGCCCCGGGCACGCTGCTCTGGAACGGCCCTGGGGCACTGCCAGCCCCGGGCACGCTGCTCTGGAACAGCCCTGGGGCACTGCCAGCCCCGGGCATGCTGCTCTGGAACGCTCCAAGGGCACTGCCAGCCCCAGGCACGCTGCTCTGGAACACCCCTGGGGCACTGCCAGCCTCAGGCACGCTGCTCTGGAACGCTCCCAGGGCACTGCCAGCCCCGGGCATGCTGCTCTGGAACGCTCCAAGGGCACTGCCAGCCCCAGGCACGCTGCTCTGGAACACCCCTGGGGCACTGCCCAGCTCCTGGGAGCGCCCAAGCCTCCCCAGCAGGCTCCTGACACGGGCACTGAGGGAATCCCCACTGCTGCTGTCCTCACTGCCCCGCGTCCCTGCTGCCCTCCCGGGCTGGCATGGGGAGCCCTGGGAGCCCCCCAGGCTGGTGGGGACACTGCCCAGGGGCTGCAGGGGAGGAGGATGGCCCAGCTCTGGAGCCGTGCCAGCGCTCAGGCGGCTGCTGGCACTGCTCTGTGCCAGCCCCACAGGGGCAGCCTGGCTCCTGCCTGTGGTCACGCCGCTGCACCCTTCTGGCTCCGACCTGCCCGTGGATTTCCCTGTCCTCGGCTCCGGGGCCATTCCCTTCAGCCCCTCCCTGCGCTGGGAACTGACAGCCAGAGCATCTCCCCAGGGCAGCTGGCAGCTGGCAGGATGCAGAGGATGCATCCCCAGCCCCTGTCCTTGCTCTCCCCTCTGGATCACGGCCTCATCCCACGACAGTCTCCTCTGCAGCTCAGGGACCCGGTCCTGGCCTAACCTGGCACCCTTGGGATCCTCCCCAGGCTCTGTGCAGGAGGCTGTGGGCCGAGCAGCACGGCTCCAGCTGGCAGCGAGACCCTCTGCCCGTGCCAGCAGCTCCCGCAGCGCCCCGGGCCCCAGCAGGGCATGCCCTCCCTGCCCCTGGCTGCTCTCACTTCCCACCCCGGAGCTCTGGGATGCTCTGTCCAAATCCGTGTGGCTCCCAGCCCCAGACACTGCCCATCCCTGCCCACTGCTGCCCGAGCTGCTGCACTCAGGGGCACCCCCAGCCCGGGGAGCCCTGCCCGAGGAGCGGCCGGGCACATCCTGCTCTGCCCTGGCAGATCCCCGGGCTGGGCAGCCGGGGACAGCCACCGGCAGCTGGGCGCCCGGCACGGGGCCCTGGCTGGGTGGGCGCTCCCCGGAGAGCCGGGGGGAGCCGGGGCACAGCTCCCGGGGGGAGCCGGGGCACAGCTCCCGGGGGGACAGCAGCTCCTGCTCCCGGGGGGACAGCAGCTCCTGCTCCCGCTCCCAGCCCGCCTCGGAGCCCCCGGCCAGGGACACGCTCAGAGGGGACAAGTCCGAGCCAAAGCTTGCCTGGGACATCGCAAGGGCTGGCAGCAACGCACCTGCAAAGGAACAGAGTACAGATCACTATCTGGGGCTCCAGAACACGGCACACAGCCCTTCCTGTGCTACGGGGCACACAGAGGGAGGACAGGACTGGAAAATATTTAAGGTGTGTTCTTAGCATGAGACCTGAACCAAGAGTTCCATATATATATATATATATATATATAATTAGTTATTAATAATAACCAAGCACAATAATTATTATTTATTAACTAATTATTAACTAATAATTATTATTTAGTAACATTATAACAGATTATAATTAGTTATAATGTACTTATAACTGTTAAAATTAATTATATAATAATATATACCATATATTATCAATAATCTTGGTTATATAATAATATAATGTAATATGATGCTAGTATCATACAACAACAACATATAACAATTGGAATTGGTTATTAACCATAACGGAGCCCAGGGAAGAAGCCAAGCCCCACTCCCCTGCAGCCCCCTGCCCCCGTACCCTCGGTGGGGGTGTCCAGGGGGGGCTGCAGGCTCCGGGGCTGCCAGGGGGAGAACTCCAGCTCGCGCAGGGGCCCCCGCGGCACGAAGGGCGCCAGGATGGTGCCGGGGGACTGCTGGATGCCCAGGTTCCGCAGGTACACCTGGGGAAACAGCACACACTGCCACTCAGGGCAGGGACGGAGCCAGCCCTGCCACCGCCCCGGGCACGGCCACGGCAGCCTGGGCTGCCCAGGAGTGAGCTCTGCCTCGCGCTGGAAACGCCATTCCACCTCGCACACACTCACAGACACAGCCAGAAACACACACGGAAACTCACAAACTCACACACACTCACAAACACAACCAGAAACACAGATACACACGGAAACTCAAACACAAACACACACACACTCACAAACACAACCAGAAACACAAACACACACGGAAACTAAACACACACACACACACACACAATCAGAAATACAAACACACACTCACAAACACACACACACAATCAGAAATACAAACATACACAATCAAATACAAACATACACAATCAGAAATACAAACACACACACAGAAATACAAACACAAACTCACAAACACAAACTCACAAACTAACAAACACAAACTCAAACACAAACACACACACAATCAGAAATACAAATGTAAACATACACAATCAGAAATACAAGCTCTCAAACACAAATGCTCAAACACAAACTCTCAAACACAAACACACACACCATCAGAAATACAAACACAAACTCTCAAACACAAACACAATCAGAAATACAAACACAAACTCACACACACAAACTCTCAAACACAAACACACACACACAAACACAATAATACAAACACAATAACACAAACACACTCAAATACACACACACACACAAACTCAAACTCACACAAACTCACACACAAACTCGCACACTCCAACACAAACACAAAGGTGTGGGTTCAAAGCCTTCTCCCTCCCCAGACAGCTGCTGCTCAGGAAACACTGGCAGGCTCGGGAATTCCAGGCAGCAGCAGAGAAGCTCCCGATTTTTTAGGACAAGTTTGGTCAAACCTTCCAGGGAAGTGGTTGGGAGCACTTTTGTGAGAGCTGGTTTAAAAGCAGATATTATATGCAGGAAAAAAAAAACAGCCAAAATTTTCCTTGACTTCATCACCTGTAGGGCAAATTAATTTCAACTCATCCACACTATGTCCTAAACTAGCCAGGAAAATGAAATAAATTGATTACCTTACACATGACAGCCAGCTGCATTTCCTGTGATTTTATTACACACTTCCACATTAACAGCCAGGTAAGTGACCTGACTCCTTTACCTTCCAGTAAAGGAGCAGCATTGCTCAGAACTAGGCTGAGAGTGTAATTATAGCCAGGAACAGAACTCATCTCTCTGGCTCATGAATTCCATTTCAAACACCCCCCTCCAATATTTATATTTGTTTCACCACGGGTTTGCAAAGACAACAGAGGGAAAAGAGCTTCCAGAGCACATTCCCGAAGACCTGGTGATTATGGAATCATCTTGTGAGAGGAGCAGCCTCTTACTCAGAGGACAGTTACAAGTTTGTCATTACCATAAATCTGCATCTCATTTGCTCCAGCACTCCCAGCTATTAATGCCCTGAAGTGCTGCACAGTGCTCTGCCCTGGCTCCAGCCCAGCCAGGGGAACCTGGATCAGCCAGGCAGGACACAGAGCAGGGAAGGGATGAAGAGCTCTGAAGGTCCTTCATGAGGAACACATCAAGAATTCAGAACTGGGGCCTCAGGAACAGGAACAAAGTGAAAAAGCAGAGTGAGAAAAGCACAGGAAAGAAAGAAATTTCGTTTCCAAGGATTTGTGTTGGGTTTGCTGCTCCTGCAGAGCTGGGGAGAGCTCAGCTCTCCTCACTCAGCACCTGAACCTCACGTTTGGACAAGGAGAGATCTTTGAGAGAGCCAACAACTCCCCCTTCTCTCTCCTCCTGCTCCCCTGATGTCAGATTATGCCTTTTTCTGACCCAGAGATGGGGTAACTGAGAGGTGTTTTAAAACTTCCATTCCATTTCCAGTCTCATGCGAAGGGTGAGACAATACAGATGTTATAATTAACGCCATCACAATCAGAAGTTGACTATTTCCTAATTACAATACACTACAAGTGTTTCTTGGCCTATCAGCTTTAGCCACACCGTGCTGTAAATGCCTTAAAGCCAATAATCTCAAACTACCTGTGGGTCCTACTCCAGTGCATCTTTCACAGTTCTATTTCTCCAAAGTATCCAGGCTTATTTGCAAGGCCATCCTTTGAAATTTGTTTCTGGCTCCATTTATCTCTCAACAGTGTCTGTCCCATTCCATGGCATTTCTAAGTCAGCATTGCTTGTCTCAAGGTTTGCACTGTGTGAACCTTCTGCCAGGCTTTGAGAGCTCTCCACAAATCCATTTCCCACACCCTGACACTCAGCTACCCCTGGGAACAAGAAGAGACCTTTCCCATATCCAACCCTGTCTTTGTCCATGTTAAATGTTACTAAAAGTTATTTTTCCACCTCTATTTAAGCTAAGATGAACCAGTGGCATGGATGAAATTCACTGTAGCACAAGGCTGGGTAAAACCATTTGTTTTGGCTTGTAATGGTTAGATCATCTCCTGAAAGAGTAGTGGGGCAAAATGGAAAAGAGAAAAACAAATGGAAAACTCTGAAAAACAAATGTAACTGAAAAAATAACTCTGGGAAAAGAAATGGTTAACGCTGGGGGGGAAAAAATGGCTAACTCTGGAACCAGAGCTTGAATTAGAACCAGACTTACCGGGATCCTTTCTTCAATATTCAACTCTTCTTTCTTGGGAGTCTCCAGTGCTGCTCCAGGGGGGATGGGGCTGTTCCCTCCTGCACTGGGGCAGGACCTGGGCACCACCAGGGCCTCCTGAGGCTCCCCAGGACCATCAGGAAAACTCAGACTCTCCAAGGAAATGGCTCCAAAGATGTCCATGATATCGTCACCACTGGGAATGCTGAGGCTGAGGGACTCATTTCCCTTCTCCTCACACTCCTGGAGCTCCTCAGCTGGGGAGCTCCCATCCTTCCTAAGGAGCTGAGCAACACTGGACACAAACACACCTGGGGCTGAGCTTCGTCTCGTGGCGCTCCGCACGCCTTCAGCACGAGATCCAGGAGCCACCTTTGGTGTGGTGGAGCTGCCGGAGCCCCCCGGAGCAGGACTGTCCTGCCCTGGGGTCCCTCCAGCCCGGGCTCTGCTGCTGCTGCAGGCGTTCACGGCGTTGTCAGACTGGGACCTGCTCAGGGCAGGGGCAGGCAGCAGCTCTGGGAGGGGGAAATGCAAACTCCCCAGAGACCCTGTCCCGCTGCGGGCAGGAGCAGCACAGCCCTCGGCATCTCCAAGGCTTCTCTGGGCTGGTAACACGCAGCTTGAAGCCCTGGGGCGTGCACCAGAGGCTTCCCTCGCAGGGGGAACTGCACCTGGGACACGTGAGCTGGTGGCATCGGGACCCTGCTGTGGCTGGCCCATGTTCCAGGCTCCCACCTTCTCCAGGAAGCCCAGCGAGGGCAAGGACTGCACCCTGCCAGGGCAGGGGGATTCCAGCTCCAGGGACCCCAGACGTGCTCCCACCTTCTCCAGGAAGCCCAGCGAGGGCAAGGACTGCACCCTGCCAGGGCAGGGGGATTCCAGCTCCAGGGACTCCAGACGTGCACAGGTCTTGTCCACAGGACTCTGGGGAGGCTGCTGCTCCCCAGGGCATGCAGGGGCAGGGGACTCCCCTGGGGCTTCTTCATTGGAACAGGAAGGAGAGGCCTGAAGGTCCGGAGGGATCTCCAGGGCTCCACCACGTCCTTCTGCCTTCCCAGTTTTCTTCAGGAACAGCCCTGGAGTGGACTGGAAGTTGGGATGAGCCAGGTGCAGGCAGAAGGAGCCCTCAGCTCCCAGACTGAAGGAAGGGGAGATCTCTGTGGCTCTGTGTCCCCTCTCTATGGAGCAGTCAGAGGCAGTCAGCTCATCCCTGCTCCCCGTGGGCTCTGCCTGCCCTGGGGAGTGCCCAGGGCCCGGGGCAGCCTCCTGGGGCTGGCTGGGTGGCACAGCAGGGCCCAGCCCCTCTGTGCCCAGCCTCCCTGCTGGCTGCTGCTGCCGAAGGGCCAGGACAGCTCCCTGGGAGCCCCTGAGCTGCTCCCCACGTTCCTCCAGCGCTCCTCTGCCTGTCCCAGCAGCTGCTGCACGAAGAACATCTCGAGCACCGGAGCTTGTAGCACGGCCTTTCCTCAGGATGTCACAGAAATTACTTGGCAAACCAAGCTCAGGCACCTTCTTTCCTTTTTCCAGTTTCTCCTGGGCTCCTGCTCCACTCCCAACCGCTTTCACCTTTTCCTGCTGCATCCCCCTTTCACTTTTCTCTGAGAATTTGGTCCGTGCAGTTGTATAGGAGGAGTTTCCTGAGGAGGAGGAGGAGGAGGAGGATTCCTCCTGCCCCGGGGACTCCTTGTTCCCCTCTGACAGCTCAGAGCCAGCAGCTGGACCATCACTGTCCTGGGAGGAGTGAGCACAGCAGTGTCCATCCTCCCCAGCCGTGCTCCAGGGCTGCTCCAGCCCCTTCCCCAGCCCCTCCTCTGGAGCTGGGGGTGCTGGATCGCCCCTGCCCCGGGGTCCTGCTGCCTCCTGCTGGGTGCCCCTGTCCCCATTGTCCCCCCGGCTGCCCAGGGGCTCCCCAGACACGGCAGCAGCTCCAGGATCCGCCTGTCCCACGGGCTGGGAGTGCTGGGATGGACTGGCAAGGGCACTGCCATGGACGTGGGGAGGCTCTGAACGCTCCAGGGATGCTCCAGAAACATCTGGGATTCCCCTGCAAGAAAAGTGAACTTCTGATCATTTCTTTCATTTCAGCATCTCTGGTTTAAATCAGAAGCAAAAGAACCTCAGTGACAACTGGAGGTTAGCAATATTCCCATAAATACACAAATACCCATAAATGCATTCCCTAAAGCGGCAAAACCCAACAGAATGCAAAGAAATATAAAAAATCCCCTATAAAACAAAGGCTTAAAAATAATATAACAATAATACCAATTTTTACTTAGTATGGCAATATTTTTCAACCTGTTTAGGATTGAAACATGTTTTACTGACAGGCTGTAATTAGTTACATAAATAAATAAAATTAGCTAAGTAAAATATGCAACATGTACTTACACATACCTCAGCTTGCCTGTGATTTTTTAATATAAATCACCTAATTCAGTTCATGATATCAATTATTTTTTTAAAGGACATAAAAGGAGCCAGGACTCAGATAAGCAACAAATTCCTATAAAATTCTAATTCTCATATTGGGGATTGCTTAATTAATAGTTCCTTTATATTAAACATACCATCAAATCCTAATAAATATTATTCCACACAAGCAGAGCACCTTGAAATGAAGGTGACAAAGCCTTTTACTGAAACGGCTTTCTTTATGCATTTTAACCCCAAATTTGTACTGTAAATTACACACTGGCTCCAGCATAAACAACAACACTGTCCATGTTTTACTCCTGTAAATGCAGAAATCTGATCTTTGTCCCCAAAATTTCATTAAGTTTATTCCAGAGATGTTGAAGAGGGTGGAGTTCCTCATTTTCCCCGGGTACCTCGGCAGCCAAGCTCAGAAGAGACTGGTCCTGCTTTTCCCTTGCTCAAACTCTTCTGAAGGCAAAATCCAGAGGTGCCTTCTCTCCACACAGCCCCAAACCCCCATTTCTGAGCCCAGGCCCTGCCTTTACCCATCACCCAGTGCAGAACCAGCCAGGGGAAAGGAACAGCCCCAGGAACCCCATCCCACCTCAGGGGAAGGAAATCCATCTGGGATCCCTGCAGGAACGTCTCAGCCAGGGCTGGGCTCAGCAGCAGGGGCAGGCAAGGGGAGAATCTGCTCTCCTGGATAGCTGGGAGAGAGAAAACACCAACAGGGCACTGAGAGCTGGCAGCAAGCCTCACAGCCCCAGAGATGCCCAAAGATCCCAGGCTAACATCCCCAAAAATCCCCAAAGATCCCAGCTTCACATCCCCAAAGATCCCAGCCCCACATCCCCAAAGACCCCAGCCCCACATCCCCAAAGACCCCAGCCCCACATCCCCAAAGACCCCAGCTGCAGGGAAGGGGAGGCAATCCCACCCCTAACCCCCTGGAGCCTCCTCCCTCCTGGATTAAATTCATTTTTCTCAGCCTGTACCAAACCCAGGTCTCCAAGCACTCACCCCTGGCACTGCCATTCCAAACTCATCCCAAATTTCCTTCTGTGCCATCCCCATCCCTGCTGGTTTCCAGGTGGGATCTCACAGGGATTTGAACCCATCACCTCTCACTGTACAAACCAAGATCCCACAGATTCCCTTCTCTGTTTTCCATAAACCCTGATTCTAGCAAAGGCTCTGTGCCATTGTTTTCCTGAGGGATTCCAGTTGAAGTAATAATCAAACCCAGCAGAGTGATGACTGCTGCAGCAATTCTAGTTTCTATCCTGCATTTCTTTGCTCTTTGGGGTAGTTGGTGGTTTTTCCCAGTTCATTGCTTACAAAAACAAATGGAAATTGTTCATACAATTGTTCATACAATCATGCAAGGTTTAGATTTAACTGTATGTTTGGGGTTTTTTTTCCTTTTTTAAATTCTAAACTGGTGTCTAAGAAGTGCAAATACCTACAGACATGTCTGAGGGGTGCAAAGCAATACTCCCAGTATTCTAAGCAAGCCTTGATTTTTAAAGGAGAAGAGCTATTTGTGGTCACGGGAGTGACTTCCCAACCCAGAAATGCCATTTATTTAATTTAGACTCATTAGTTTCCAGCCACTCAGACAAGGCACAGTCTGCAGCACTTAGAGGAGCACAATCACATCAGAAAAATGAGCATTACACACAAAAAAATCCAGTTTTCATTCCATCAGCTCCAGCTCAAGGCATCTCCACCCACACTGCATCACCTGACCAGGGGCAGCCAACCACAAGGCAACCTTGCTTATTAGTTTTTTTTAATTTAATACTTCCAATTAACATTTTTAATTACTTTAGGTAGTGAGAGGATAATCAGCCAGAATAACTGAATTTGCAATACCAAATATTATTAAAATGTTTTTTTGGAAGCTTAGAGAAAGGAAATGAGCTAAAAAGATAGGTCTAAATAGCTATTCCTGAGCATTGTGACAGCAGGAGGAATTCCAGAGGGCTCAATCCACGCTGGGAAGCAGAGCTGGATGGCAAAATTCATTCTGACACACGTGGAAGTGGGAAAAGGAGAGGAGCAGCACAGAGGGAGCAGAGCCAAGGAAGGAAGCAGCAAGGTCAGGAAAACTCGACTGAAACTCAGCAGCTCCTCGGGGCCCTGCTCACCAACAGCACACCCCAAAGTGGGGTTAAAGGGGCAGCCCTGATGGGAACAGCGGGACTGGGGCACTGAGGGATTGGGGCAGTGATGGGAACAGTGGGATTGGGGCAGAGAGGGATTGGGGCAGTGATGGGAACAGCGGGACTGGGGCACTGAGGGGATTGGGGCAGTGATGGGAACAGTGGGATTGGGGCAGTGAGGACATCGGGGCATTGAGGGGATTGGGATTGGGGCATTGAGGGGATTGGGATTGAGGCATTGAGGGGATTGGGATTGGGGCACTGAGGGGATTGGGATTGGGGCACTGAGGGGATTGGGATTGGGGCACTGAGGGGATTGGGATTGGGGCACTGAGGGGATTGGGATTGGGGCACTGAGGGGATTGGGATTGGGGCACTGAGGGGATTGGGATTGGGGCACTGAGGGGATTGGGATTGGGGCACTGAGGGGATTGGGATTGGGGCAGTGATGGGAACAGCGGGACTGGGGCACTGAGGGAATTGGGGCACTGAGGGATTAGGGCAGAGAGGGGATTGGGACTGGGGCACTGAGGGGATTGGGGCAGTGAGGGGAATGGGGCACTGAGGGGATTGGGGCACTGAGGGGATTAAAATTGGGGCAGAGAGGGAATTGGGGCAGTGAGGGATTAGGGCAGAGAGGGATTGGGATTGGGGCAGTGATGGGAACAGTGGGATTGGGGCACTAAGGGGATTGGGGCAGTGAGGGGAACAGCGGGATTGGGGCAGTGAAGGGACTGGGGCAGAGACAAGATTTAATCACTCTGAATCCTGATTTAAAACCAGGAGCAGGAGGCTGAGCCGATTCCCTGTGATGTCCCTCACGCTCCCCTCAAGCACACAGAGAACAGAGGGGTGTGTTCAGGGCTGGCACTGGACTTTCCATTCCCAATTCCCAACAAGTGACTGGGAGCACACAGGATTTCCAGTGCCTTTGGCCCACCCAGCACACGTTCACTCCGGGAGTTTTTCAGTGTTACACTCGGGAATACTGAGCAGATTCATCTGCATACAGAATTGCATTAAGGATGCAAACCAGTGTTTTTTAAGAAACATTAAGCAAGTTGGAATCTGAACTCCTCAGCTCTGTTAGGTGGACTTTTCCCCCTCACAAATATTGTTTTCTATTTAAAATGGCATTAGTGAACAAATAATAATAATTGCAGTTATCAAATCAGACTTGTCAGCTCCCATCATGACATACTTCATGTGGCAGAATTGGCACCTTATTTTTAGTCATGCAAGAAAGGAGGAAAACAAGCTTCTCTGATTTCAGCTTAACTTCTCCACTTTGAATGAAAATGTGTTTTCAAGCTAAATTGAAAAGCAGGAGTGATTAAAGAAAAGGTTTTTCCACACACACACACAAAAAAATAGGGTGTGCTTTGGAAATGAAGAAACAAAGAGGAGTAAGGGAGGGAGCAGAAAATAATTGGGGAAAAAAGCTGTCAAAACCAGATGTTGCCAATCCTTTGTGTACAGAGATTAATGAAGTAGATGTGCATGTACAGGCACATACACACACCCCATAAATCACAACATTTGGCTGATAAATGAGTGCTTTCAGCTCTATGATACCAACAAAAACCTAAGTGCCACTCGACATTTGTTTTAAGAAACTCAAACAGAGGAAAAAGTGACTGAACACTCTCCATCAGCAGGAAACTCTCACGGCACCGAGGCCCCTCAGGAGCCATTCCTTCTCTGCCCTACAGGGAGCTCCAGAAACCCCAAATTCCTGCACAGAAGCTCGAGGATGAGGCAGGGATTTGCCAAGCAACAAAAACCTCAGCGCACAGACCTTCAGCAGAGGGCAGAGAAGGGAGGGCAGTGTCCCAGGCCAGGCTGGGCACTGAGCCCCTCCAACCCAAACATTCCCAGCCCAAACCATTCCCAGCCCAAACCATTCCCAGCCAAAACCATTCACAGCTCAGCCATTCCCAACCCAAACCATTCCCAACCCAAACATTCCCAGCCCAAACCATTCCCAGCCCAAACCATTCCCAGCCCAAACCATTCCCAGCCCAAACCATTCCCAGCCCAACCATTCACAGCTCAGCCATTCCCAACCCAAACCATTCCCAACCCAAACCATTCCCAACCCAAACCATTCCCAACCCAAACCATTCCCAACCCAAACCATTCCCAACCCAAACCATTCCCAGCCCAAAGCATTCCCAGCCCAAAGCATTCCCAGCCCAAACCATTCCCAGCCCAAACCATTCCCAGCCCAAACCATTCCCAGCCCAAACCATTCCCAGCCCAAACCATTCCCAGCCCAAACCATTCCCAGCCCAAACCATTCCCAGCCCAAACCATTCCCAGCCCAAACCATTCCCAGCCCAAACCACTCCCAGCCCAAACCACTCCCAGCCCAAACCATTCCCAGCCCAAACCACTCCCACCCTAAACCATTCCCCCTCAGCCTGAGCAGCCTGAGGGGATGCAGCAGGAACCAGCAGGACAAGGAAAATCACTCATTTCAGGATCAGACCTCACACACCAAACACCTGCAGAGCTGTGCCCTCACCCTGGGATCCCTCACCTGGTCCCTGGCTTCTCCCAGGAGTGCTCTGGTTTTGCCATGTGGCAGGGATCTGCTGGGGCTGACAGCTCCACCTTCCCAGGGATTCCCCAGGGATCTGCTGGGGCTGACAGCTCCACCTTCCCAGGGGATCCCCTCAGAACTGGGGTGGTGAGAGCTGGCTGGGAGCAGCAGATGATGACAGGGCCAGGAGAGAAGGGTGAGGGAAAAATGGGGCAGGAAAAGGAAAGGAAGAGGCAGAAAAGTTGAGATGTGCAGCAGCCACGTTCTCCATGGAAATGCACCCTTGCAGCTCGCTCCCTGCAGTGGAGAGGCACCTCAAGGAGCTCAGTAAAGAGCATTTCACAGGGCTACAAACCTGATTTCATGATTATATAACACAGAATTAGCTATTCTATGAACCCCAAATGCAGCCCTGTCCTAGGCTCTCCCTGCTTTGGCTTTTTCACCTCTCACAGCACACAAACCTCCTGTTTATCAGTGCCTGCCTTTCCTCTGGGGACAGAAATCCTGGGGCACATTTGGGGTGCCCAGGAGGGACCCTGGAGCACGTCTGGGGTGCCCAGGAGGAATCCTGGGGCACATCTGGGGTGCCCAGGAGGGACCCTGGAGCACATCTGGGATGCCCAGGAGGGATCCTGGGGCACATCTGGGATGCTCAGGATGGATCCTGGAGCACATTTGGCATGCCCAGGAGGGAGCCTGGGGCACATCTGGGGTGCCCAGGAGGGACCCTGGGGCACATCTGGGGTGCCCAGGAGGGCTCAGGTCGCTGTGCTCAGCCCGAGGCAGGCCTGGAGCAGCAGCCAGGGCTGGAAGCAGGCAGTGACGCCAGTGCTGCTGTCCCCGAGCTCCTCATGTCAGAACTGGGATTCTTCTTGCTGTCACTCTGAAGGCCAAAAGCCTCCTCAGAGGAGCTCAGCAGGCAGGCAAAGCCGGGCCTGTGACTTGTTCTGCCAGCCTGCTGACAAGTCTGAATGCCACAGTCAAGCTGCCATTTGGGGGATAAAAAAGGAAGGCAAAACAAAAACAAAGCCTCGGCTCTGTCAAGCTGTTCCACGGAGCAGCAGGAGCACTTCAGTACAACTGTCATTGTCACTCCTCCCCTCCTGACATGAAATCCAAGGCACTTTTTGAGGAGGAGAAGAAGAAATAAATGAGTATTGCAGCTATGGCTTCCTTCCCCCTCACCTCCCCTCCCGTATCTGGGAATTCAGAGCACACACAAAGCCTGCAGTCCATCTCTAGAGAGCAGCAGATGAAACAGCACAGGAGAGGCTTCTCACAGCTATTAGCACACCACAGAGCCTTCTGCTTGCTCCTTAATTCCAGCTGCACTGGAAACGTAAAGCTGGACAAATATCAAGAAGTTTTCCTTGATTAAATGGCTTCCAGTTGTGCAAATAACGACACTGGGGAAAGGGCTGTAAAACACCTGAAACACAGGAATGCTGCTCAGAGGATGGGCAGGAAAAGGCATGGCCAACCCTCCATGTCCTCCCACTTGCCAAGATCTGTCCTGAACCTCACTTTCCTACAAAAACAGGGATTTATTCACTATCCACCAGCTCTCGGTGATGCACACACAGCCTTTAACCACCACGCTGCCTGCAGACCCAACTCAGAGGCAGCCCAGGATGGCTTTCACTCCATGAAGGAGAAGAACCCTTCAAAACCACCTCCCAGGCAGCTGCAAATGCCCAGCAGGCAGAAGCTCACTGATGCTGTGAATGAACTCAGCCACGAGCAGCCCGTGCTGTGCTCCCTCTCCCTGTCCCCTCACTGCCTGCCCTGGCTGTGGAAAACAAACCTGGCAGGAGGTGCAAACAGGAGCCCTTTGATCCAGAAGTTACCAAAAGCCAACCTAATCTCTGCAGTAAATGTTACAGTGACACCAGGGACAGCCCTCAGGTGACACCCACAGTGGCAGGGACTGAGCCTCAGAGGGTGTGGGATGGACCAGAACCCACCCAAGATGTTCCTTCTCCTCTTTGCAGGCTCCTTCAACAAGGACAGAGCAAAATCATCTCAAAAACCAAAGAAAATCGCCAAGAGCTTTGCATTAAAAAAAATAAAAGTCAAACCCATAAACCCCTCAGGAGCTGCTAGGAGGAAATTCCCAAGGCAGTTTAACTCCATGCCCTTCAAGTGGTGTTTAACTCCCAAACAAAACCCTAAAAAGCAGCTGCACACAGGCAAGCTGGCACAGGGAACGGCAAATGGCACAGCTGAACCTGCACTTAGCTGTAAGCACAGAAGGTTTATGTAAAAATATCACAATTATGTTTTCTGCCTCTCCATAGTTGTGTTTGTTTGTGAAGAAACACCACCAACCTCAGGCACACCTGGAAAGGTGAGTCACAGGAGGAATATCCTCATGGGCAGGGGAACTGCTGGCCCTGCAGAGGGATCAGTGCAAAAAGAACCACCCTGGGCTGAGAAACTGCATTTTCAGGCTGTGCTGGACCAGGATGCTCTGGCTCCACATGGAGATGATGGAACCAAGGAAGCACAAAGGTGAAATTTGAAATGCTGGAGTTTCTCAAGCCTTCTCTGAGTGACCTGCTGGGACAGGGTGTGAGAAGGAGCAGTGGGGCAGGGACCTTGGCTGGAGTGAGTGTTGGAACTGGAAATCTCAGCAGCAGCAGAAACTGCACCCAAACCCAAGGGTAGCAATGAGGAATGGCTCAGGTGGAAGGGGTTTTAAAGATGTTTCAAAGATCTTTTATTGCTCCCCCTGCCATGGACACCTTCCCCTGCCCAGCCTGGCCCTGGGCACTGCCAGGGGTGCAAGCTGCACTCAGGTTCACTCTGAATTCCCAGGAAAACAAAGCAAAGCTTAACCTGGCACAAAAGGAACCTGCTGGTGGCAGAAGATCCAGGGAAGGCACTCAAACCCTGCCTGAGGGGGGCTTTGACACCAACATCACCCCAAGTACCCTTGCAAAGCTCATTTCTCACTGAAGTGAGGTCCAGTGCAGGCTGGGACTGACTGACCACTGCAATCCTCTCCTGTGGCAACCCCTCTGCACATACCCAGGGGGGAGGCGGGGGCTGCAGCTCCCGAGGCCTCTGCTGAGGGCAGCAGCCCTTCCTCCAGCGTGGGCAGCTCCGACAGATCCCTCCTGGCACAGCTCAGGCCCAGCTTAGTGTCCCAGGAGCTGCTCCCCTGCTCTGCTGCCAGCCAGAACCACGGCTCCTGGGGGAGGAAAGAGAGCTCCATCATCATCATCATCATCATCATCAACCACGGCTCCTGGGGGAGGAAAGAGAGCTCCATCATCATCATCATCATCATCAACCACGGCTCCTGGGGGAGGAAAGAGAGCTCCATCATCATCAGCATCATCATCACCATCAACCACGGTTCCTGCGGGAGGAAAGAGAGCTCCATCATCGTCAGCATCATCATCAACCATGGCTCCTGGGGGAGGAAAGAGAGCTCCATCATCATCATCAGCCATGGCTCCTGGGGGAGGAAAGAGAGCTCCATCATCAGCATCATCATCATCACCTGTGAGCCTGAGACAAGCAACCAGTGATTCTGAGCAGGGTTTCCTACACAAAGGCTCAGCCTGAAGTGTGAAAGGCCCAAGAGTCGTTAATGACAGCAGGGAGGTCATTAATGACATCAGGGAGGTCATTAATGACAGCAGGGAGGTGTCCCAGGACCTCTGGGAGCCCAGCAGTGCCCCTGCTGCAGCTGCTCTGCCTTGGCAGGCACTGCCAGGGGCTGCAGCTCCTCTCCCCAGCAGAGCTTGGGCACAAGCAGGTGGAACTGCTGGAAATCCCCCGTAACAGCACTCACAGGAATGTCATTTCTATTCCAACGTATGGCAAGATCCAGCCCTGCTGCTTGTGCCGAGCTGTCCTTCCTGAAAACACCTGGGAATCTCCTGGGAACTGCACCAAGCCTGCACTGAGTAAAATGTAACGGAGTAGAAAATCTATCTAGATTTAAGTGAAATGTACTGCGTAGTAGCTTACTAACATGAGTGAAATGTGCTGTTTACTCTGTTAACTGCACTGTACTTATAAAACTATCTTAGCTAAAGAAAAAAAATGCAATCTCCAAAGTGAAGTCTAAATCTCCAAATTTAAGTCTACAAAAAATAGACAAGAAAATTAGAGTTCTCTGTACAAAGAGCCAACTGTAAATTACAATGTGAAATCAACAGAATAAATATATATAAACCTATTGTTTCTATGCATATGTAAATTAGTACAAAATAATTTTAAAAAATCGAGAATCCTCAAGGGGCACACATGCCCTTTGAAGAGAAATCCCTGCACGCACCAAGCGCTGTAACAAAAAACATACCGTTCCCTACAAATCTTTAATAAAGTTGTAAAGTCTTAATTTTCCATCACAATTCAGCAGCAGCACACTCTGCTGCGTTATTCCAGCTTTAATCCCCATTCCAGAGAGGAAATAAGCTGGGTGAGAAACTGCCCCCTGGTAGCACTGGGTGTACCAGGGCACACAACGAGGCAGCTGCAGGCAGGAGCAAAGATTTACTAAATGAGTGTAATCATCTCTGAGGGCTCCCACATACTTTAAATCAAATGAAGGAAATTTAACAACGTTTTTCTTCCTGAAATTCAATACATCGCTTCAGCTGCTAAATACATAAAGAGGGGTAAAGACAGAAATAAAGCTGAACAACTACAGCCACCCCCACAGCACCCAGTGCCATGAATTAGAGCTGGAAAAGCAGCTCTGAACCCAGGCTGCAGTTCAGGCACAGAAATATGAATGTTGTGGGTTTTCAACTACTGTCACAACCAGGTTAGCTCTCCTTATGTTATTCTGCCCCACAGACCACTGAAAACACCCCACAGCAGAACAAAGTCAAAACCCAGGGAGAGGAGGGAAGGAGATCTCCCCAGATAAGTGATGGCAACAACCTGATCTGCCAGGACATCAGAAACACACTGTGATTCCTGCTAACACCTGAGGGCAGCCCCACTAACCCCACAGCCACCCCCCAGCACTCCCAGCCCCACTAACCCCACAGCCACCCCCCAGTACTCCCAGCCCCACTAACCCCACTGCCACCCCCCAGCACTCCCAGCCCCACTAACCCCACTGCCACACTAACCCAAATGCTCCCAGGGACTGAGTCCCAGCCCCACTAACCCCACAGCCACCCCCCAGCACTCCCAGCCCCACTAACCCCACAGCTACCCCCCAGCACTCCCAGGGACTCAGTCCAGCACTCCCTGGGCAGCCTGACAACCCTTTCTGGGAAGAAATCTTCCCCAATTTCCAGCCTAAACCTGTCCTGGCAGCGCCTGGGGCTGCTCCCTCCTGCCCTGGTGTTTGCCACACAGGACACCCCAACAGGCTCTGCACTTGGGCATTGCTTCTGCCCAAACTGAACTTCAATCTGGGCAAGCTGCTGTGCTGGGCCTCATCTCCTGTGGCCCCTGGGAAGCCCAGGGATTTCTGCACAAAAGCAGCTCAGAATTTGCCCATCTGCTGCTGGCGGTGCCGTGGTGGCAGGAAGGGATGGATGGTTTGGGTCTGGCACCCCAGTCATGGCTAGAGCGAGGTACAGCCTCAGCAGTTTGAGCAGCAGAGTTGATAACAGCACAAATCAGAGCTAAATTATGCGAAATGAGCCTCTCCAGCCTGGCCTGGCTCTTCCCTGGCCCCAGCTGCAGTGAGAGCCCCGGGCCACTGGGAGTCAGCAGCCACTGCTGCAGGGCAGGGACCGGGCAAACAGGAACTCACCTGGCAACCAGGGATCACCTGGAGCACCGGGATCCAGGGATCCAGCTGGGAGCACCGGGATCTGCCGGGAGCACCGGGATCCAGCTGGGAGCACCAGGGATCGCCTGGAGCACCGGGGATCCAGCTGGGAGCACCGGGGATCCAGCTGGGAGGGATCTGTCCAGTTTATCCCAGCTCCCTTTCCTGAGCCTCCACCCCACCTCACCCCCAAACTCCTCTCCAGGCACACAGGGCAGGGAGGAACATTTGGAATCACTGTGGGGTTACCCCCTTCTGTCCAGCTGAAGCTGCATCCCTCCCTCTGTTAATTCTGAGCTGCTTATTTTGGGTTTCATGCAGCAGCTCAGTCAGAGGGGCCCTGGAAGATCAGCAGGTTCAGCCCCGTGGGAAGGGAGCCCACTTCCCAAAGAGAAGCACACAGCAGAGGTAACGGTGCTGCAGCACCCACGGCTGACAACCAAAGCCAGGAGCTTTGGCACCATCAGCCCCTTCCTGGCCCACTGCAAAGCAAATTTAGAGTCACCCAGGGCAGCTCTGCCATCAGATTTCCATTCCTGTGCAAAGCCCCCTGAAGTGCCTGCTGCCCAAATCTCACCCCCAACACGAACATTTAACAGCATTTCTGAGTTGAGAAGCCACCACTCCTTCACACATTTAGCTCTGGACCACAGAAAAAGCACTGACTATCCCCTGGCTTTTCATTTGTGCTTTATTTAAACCATACTTACAAGAGCTGCATTTTGCATCCCACTGTCCTGGAATGTTTTTAGGAAAAATGCTCATTCCTATATCTTTTCCACCACTGAAATAAAAGGTACCTCTGTCAGCAGGTACCTTAGTTTGCTACCCCTACTTACCTTCAAAAGAGAAAAAGCAGAATTTCAAGGAATTATGGACATTCTGGCACTTAGCCATCAATTAGCAGCACTTAAGAATGAGAATCAGGACCCTGATCCTCCTGGGCCTCATTTGTCACACACAAGTTTAGCTAGATATAGAATCAAAAACTTGTTAGGGAAGGGCTTAAATCATCCTCAGCTTCAAAAATAAACTGAGAGAGGAAATGGCCAAAGCTGGTAAAGCTAGAAATAGTAAAAGCAGCCAGAAGCCTCACTCTGTGGGTTACAGAATTCCTCCCCTGTTACACTCTGATACCCAGATCACCTTTAAATTATCATAAACTGGGACATCACTCCCAGCCTCCCCTCAGCGAGCAAAAACTTGAGGGAAGTGTTGAGAAGTTTTTTAAGCCAATTTGAACCCCAGTCCACCGCAAATCTGTGCTGGCTTCTGTCACAGCGTGTGACCAAACACCCCAGGGGCCAGGACAGGTGAGCAGGGCACAGCAGCACAGGTGACTCCTGATCGCTGCTGGCCTTGGTCCTCTGGACACCCCTGGAAACTCCAGCCTGAAGCCCCCAACAGAGGAGATTTTCTGAAACGAGCTGAAATCATCCCAGAAGGGAACAGAGGGCAGAGCAGAGGTGTCAGAGCAGCCACCTGGGCACCAGAGGCTGCTCTGGCTGCACCTGCAGCCCCAGGGCAGCAGCAGCTCAGCTGGGCTCAGCTCCAGCTGGGATTGCCAGGGCTCAGCTCGGGTTGTCAGAGCAGCACTCCCAGCCAGGGCACAACAAACACACGGGACAACGGGCAGCAGGGAACAGCAGCACCCAAAGGAACCGGGCTGAGCAGGACCGAGGGACACAGAACCAGGAGGGGAATTCACTGCTCTGGAACCCAGCTGCTGGGAACTGCCCTGTAACAGCACTCACAGGAACGTCATTTCTATTCCAATGTATGGCAAGATCCAGCCCTGCTGCCTGTGCCGAGCTGTCCTTCCTGAAAACACCTGGGAATCTCCTGGGAACTGCACCAAGCCTGCCCTGAGCTCCATGGCCACCAGACTTGCCTTTAGGATGTCCCAGTTATTCCCCTGGCTGTTCCCATCCTCTGCTCCAGCTTTTGTTACTTGTCCTGCTAAGACTGAACCTGCACCGGCCTGTCCTTCCTCCAGGGAATATTTCTAGAAGTTGATAAGGCATCTGCCTCAGGTTTCCACGTGGCTGCTGCACCTCTGAGCCCCTTCCTGGCTCTGGGGCTGGCACACCTTGGGACTTTTCCCTCTGAGAGCAGGGGCACAGCGACCACCAAGTGCCAGAGCACTGCACCACCACAGCAAGGAGCTGCCCCATGCTCTCACAAGGTGCCAGCTCAGCAGGACACCGGTTCCTGCATGGCTGTGATGGGACACAGCTCACAGGGATCTCTTCCCAGCCTCCAGCAGGGCTCTGGGCATAGCTGAGTGCACAGAGCTGTGTGTGAGCCCTCCACGGAGAAAAGGAGGCTCCAGGGAGACCTCCAGCACCTCCCAGTACTTAGAGGTGGCTCTTAAAAAAGAACAACAACTTTTGACACTGGCAGTTACTGAAAAGACAAGGGGGAAGTGATTTGAATGAAAGGCTGAGAGATTTAGATGAGATTTTGGGAATAAATCCTTCCCTGCCAGGTGGGCAGGCCCTGGCACAGCTGGGGCTGCCCCTGGATCCCTGGCAGGATGGACAGAGGCTGGAGCAGCCTGGGACAGTGGGAGTGACGCTGCCAGGGCAGGGGTGGCACTGGGTGGGATTCAAGGTCCCATCCATGCTGTGGTCCATGAGTGCAGCCCCTGTCCCTGCTCTCTGCAGGTCAGGGACTCTGCCAGCTGCAGAGTGTCCCCAGGGAACAGAGCAACTCATCATTACACGCCTACAATTAGCACAGTAACAGAACACAGGGCTTTTCCCAGGAGAGCAGGGGCAATCCGGAGCCAGTGTGAGCCTTCTCCGGGGAGAGAGCGGGGCACGGAGGGACCGGGATGGGGCACGGAGGGAGCGGGATGGGGCACGGAGGGACCGGGATGGGGCACGGAGGGGCACGGAGGGAGCGGGCCGGCCTCGGGCCCTGCTGGCCAGCCGGGCAGGGGCTCGGGCCATCGCCTTTATCGGGGGAAGTGACCCCTAAGAGCCCTTTCACGGGGCCGCAGGAGACACCGGCCCGCTGCCCCAGCCCCAGCAGGGTGGGGACCCAGCGAGTGACCCAGCGTGGCGCACACACAAACAGGGACACAGAGACACACGGACACAGACATACATACACATACACACACACACATATGCACTCACGTACGCACACAACGGCTCCGCTGGGCGAGCAGCTGCTCCCGCCCGCCCGACCCCGTGCTCACCTGAGGCCGCTGCTCCTGCTCCTGCTCCTGCTGGCCGTGCTCCATGGCGGCGGGCCGGGCCGGGCCGGGCAGTGTGTCAGTGTGTCCGTGTGTCCCGGTGTGTCCGTGTGTCCCGGTGTCCGTGTCCCGCTCTCCGCCGGGCCCGCGCGGTCGTCAGGGACTCGCGCCCGCCCCGCGCGCGCACGCGCCGGGACCGCCCCCTCCCCGCGCCGCCATTGGTCAGCGAGGGAGGCGGGGCCGGGGCCGCGAGCCCCGCTTCCCGCGCGCTGATTGGCGGGCGGGCAGCGGCGGGGCGGGGCTGCGGGAGCGCGCGCGCGCGCGGGGGTTTTGGCGGGCAGCGGAAGTGCCCGGATGGAGCGGGGCCGTGAGGGGCCGTGAGGGGCCGTGAGGGGCCGCGAGGGGCCGCGAGGGGCCGCGAGGGGCCGCGAGGGCAGGACCGGGCAGGACCGACCTGCCACGGCAGCCACCGCCGGTCACCTGTGCCCGGAAAAGCTCCCCGGTCGTATCGGATGTAACGGGATCACCGGATCGCTGGGGCTGGAAAAGCCCCTCCGCACCGCCCAGTCCCAGCTGTGCCCGATCGCACCTTGTCACCTGCGCCGAGCTCCGAGTGCCACCTCCAGCCCCTCCCCGGACACCTCCCGGGATGGGCACACCGAGCCTCAGCCCTGCCAATATCCAGTAAGCCCCCTCTGTGAATAAAAGCTGATGTTTGTCCCCTGGTCCTAGCCCTGCCTCTGGCAGTGCGAGCCATTCCCTGGGTGCTGTCCCTGTCCCTTGTCCCTCCGCTCTCCCGGAGCCCCTCGGTGCTGGCTGGACACAAATCCCACAGCAGGCATTTGGGACAGCCGGTGTCAGCGGAGATGAGGTGGGATTTTCCCGCGTGGGATTCCCCTCAGCTCACTGCCGAGCTCTCCTCTGGTCTGTCAGGAGCCATGGCCAGCGGGGCTGGAAGGACAGACTCGGAGTCTGGGGAGATGGGGAAGATGAGCAGAACCTCCCCCTGGACACCTTTAGATCTGTGTGTCAGTCCTGCGTGGCTTCCTGATGCCTGAAATCCGCCATAATTCCTGATCCCTGAAATCATGCATGGCTTCCTGAGCCCTGAAATCATGCACAGCTTCCTGATCCCTCACATCCTCCATGGCTTCCTGGTCCCTGAAATCCTGCATGGCTTCCTGATCCATGAAATCCTGCATGGCTTCCTGATCCATGAAATCCTTCATAATTCTTGATCCCTGACATCCTCCATGGTTTCCTGATCCCTGAAATCCTGCATGGCTTCCTCATCCCTGAAATCCACCATAATTCCTGATCCCTGAAATCCTCCGTAATTCCTGATCCCTGAAATCCGCCATAATTCCTGATCCCTGAAATCATGCATGGCTTCCTGATCCCTGAAATCATGCATGACTTCCTTTTCCATTAAATCCTGCATAGCTTCCTGATCCATTAAATCCTCCATGGCTTCCTGATCTATGAAATCCTCCATAACTGCTGATCCATGACATCCTGCACAGCTTCCTGAGCCCTACAATCCCGCATCACTTCCTGATCCATTAAATCTTCCATGGCTTCCTGATCCGTGACATCCTCCATAATTCCTGATCCCTGAAATCCTCCATGGCTTCCTGATCCATTAAATCCTCCATGATTCCTGGTCCATGAAATCCTCCATGGCTTTCTGATCCCTGAAATTCACCATAATTCCTTATCCCTGACATCCTCCTTGGCTTTCTGATCCATGGCTTTCTGATCCCGGAAATCATGCATGGCTTCCTGATCCATTAAATCCTCCATGATTCCTGGTCCATGAAATCCACCATAATTCCTGATCCCTGACATCCACCACAGCTCCGTGATCCTGCCATCCTGCATTGCTCCCGGATCCCTGCCATCCTGCATTGCTCCCTGATCCCTGCTATCCTTCATTGCTCCCTGATCCCTGCCATCCTGCACAGCTCCCTGATCCCTGCTATCCTTCATTGCTCCCTGATCCCTGCCATCCTGCATTGCTCCCTGATCCCTGCCATCCCCACGGCTTCCCTTCAGTGCCCAGAGGGAAGGAGGAGCTCTGCCTTCCCCAGGCACAGCCTGGACCCGCAGAACATCTCCCAGAAGGCAGTGTCTGCACTGGCTCTGCAGAGATTTGGGTGTTATTTTTCAGCACTAGATAAATGTGCCTGCTCAAATACAGCAAGGCAAACATTCCTTAAAATAATTAAGATGCTGACAAGAAAATGCAGCTTGATATTCAGCCCCATCTCTCTCCTGTTCCAAATCCAATTAAACGTGTTTGGCTCAGCCTGTCCCAGTGCTTGTTTATGCACTCCCTCAAAGCCCATCCCCTGGGCAGTGATGGCAGAGGCTGCAGGGAGCAGCACCCATGGGAGTCACTGGCGGGGGGAGAGGAGAGGCAGCGATCACAGAGCAAATCCTGCTGGCAGGGCAGCAGTCCCACACTTACTCCCCTGGCAGTCCAAGGAGGGCTGTGCTGGGTTCCAGCGCTGAGCGCAGCTGTGGGGCTGAGAACAGCCCCCAGTGTCACCTGGGGGAACCTGCCAGGCACTGCCAGTGACTGAAGGGCTCCTCTCGTCACACAAATTCTGTCACTGCCTGTATTTTTAGCGATTCACAGGCAGAGAGGGGAGGAGGAAGGGTTGGCTGAATGTTTATCGCTCGCACATCACTCAGGAAGCTGTTCACATTTTTATTAATTGACTAACAATATCCAGAGACTTACTCAGGCTGAGATGGAATATGCTCAAATCCTTTGCAGTAAAATGTCACTTGAAATGAAAATGGCAGAGAAATTTTTAGAAAGGCCATCGCTGGGGGAGATTCTTGGAGAGAGAAGAACCTGCCTTCCCCCAAAACTCTGTCAACCTCAGGGGCTTTTAAAGGTGACAGGTAGTATATTATAACACAGGGACTGATTAATGTGCTAATCGCAGGGGAGAATATAAAATACAATCGTGACTTCAAATACCTTGGAAAAAGGGAATGTTTGAACATCAGGCCGTGGCTGGTGCCAGTGACATGTTAATTGCCAAGTTTTCAACGTGAGGATTTCTAAGCTCCAAGGCGGTTGGAAACTCATCACTACCGAGATCTGATCAACAGGATTCCTCAGCTGCTCTGGAAAACAAACCTCAGCTGGTTTAGTGTCTGTGTATTTCACTGTCAGGTAACTTAGGAGCACTTACACCTGACTGAGCTTTTTCCCCTGATTTGTGATTGAAAAAATGGATGTGCTTCCATGTGAGAGATCCAGGTAATCTCTACACCAGCTCCCGTTAAAGAAATGGAGAGGAAGAGGCAAGAGAGGGAAGAGAAAGTGTGTCAGAAGGGTGGGCAGCGAGGAGCCAGCCCAGCAAGTGCTGGCACAGCAGCAGAGTGAGGGACAGGAGATTCACTTAGCCAGGGCCAGGGGAGTTCCCAGCCGCAGGAGGAGCTGGATGTGTATTATTAGTGCCAGGGAAGGAGCTCACTCTGCGGCTGCAGGACATGAAACCAGGAATTAGGAGAGGATGCTGCTGGCAGGCAGAGCTCCTGAGCAGAGCGCAGGCTCGGGAGGAAAAAGCAGACAAAAGGGAATGAAAGCATGAATGGGGAGGCTGTGCTCGTGCTGGGAACGCTGGGACACAGCAGCCTGGGGAGGATTCCAGGCCGGAATCACATTGCAGGAGGTGCTCCAAGCTGTGCTCCATCCCTCCCCGGCTGCCTGCAGCACCAGCAAAGTGCCCTGCTTGCTGCAATCCAAAGGCTGAGGGCTTTATTGGCTGGTTTCAGCTAAATCACATTGAGGGATAAACGCAATCTGGGCTTAGCTGAGGCTTCTGAGCCGAAAAGAGCAAATCAGGATTAAACCAGGAAAACAGTTTAATGGGATAGACTGATCTGAGGAACTTGGGCTCAGCATCCCTCCACAGGCTCACACTGGGATACTGAAGGGGCAATGGCTGCTGCCTCGCAGTCCATAGCAGGGGATGGGATCACAGAATGGCTTGGGGTGGAAAAGACTTTGAAAACCATCCAGTGCCACCCCTGCCATGGCAGGGACACCTCCCACTGTCCCAGGCTGCTCCAAACCCAGTGTCCAACCTGGGCTGGGCACTGCCAGGGATCCAGGGCAGCCACAGCTGCTCTGGGCACCTGTGCCTGTGTCCCTGTGCCATGGGGAAAGCGACTCAGAGGGTGCACTCTGTGAGGGGATACAGCTCCTTCCAGTGAGCCCAGAAGGTGCCCAGGAAAATCACCCACCTGCTTTAGGTACTCTGGTAAGATGCCCAAAGTCAGGGCAAATAGACACAGCTCTTGGGAACCTGGATCTAGAGAAAGCTTGGGATTCCTTCCTGTGAATGGTGTGTGAGTTGTTTAAATTCTATTCCATGTGCAGTGATGAAAGCCCTGCATTGGCAAGGCCTGGCCCTGGGGGAAAACACCTCCAGGAGGGGCCTGGGGATAAACAGGGAGCCTAAGAGAGGGAGCAAGAGGACACATCCCCAGTGAGGCTGTACCCCGAGGGCCAGCAGGCTCCAGGGGCAGTCTGGGTGTGAAAGTGTGCCATGGTTTGTCAGACCAGGACAAAGCGGCAGCTGGGATGGAGAAGGAACTCCAGCGCTCTCCTGGGTATCGCTGAGCCCTGATTCCAGACAGAAGGGAACTCTGGAGCTCCTCCTGTGACCCAAGGTGGGCTGGGAGCTGCCACCCAGCACAGCCCCTGCTGCTGCCACGGGCACAGCTTCGGGACAGGTATCTTGACTCACGGCTTATGCAATCCCTCTCCTCCCCAGGAAGAGAGAAGGAACCGATTAAATCTGCCCACACAGCGTCTCTAATGCCTGAGCTGAAAGTGGTGGGGAAGTATGATGGATATATGAAGCCCTTCCCCAGGTTTTCGGGCAAATCAGGGGAAAGTTCCTTCAAAAATGTACAGCTAATTATGGATTTTCCAGCTGCGATAATGTTCGAAGGTCTAAGTCTTTAATTAAATCAGAGGTTTACGAGTGAACATTCCTGGTAGGAGTCTGTAGGGAGTAGCC